GTGAGTGTCCGGCACTACCACCTTCATTTTTGCTGCCCTGTGGTAGCTGCGACCCCCCCCCCCTCCGGTCGACATTTTTGGGAGGTGAGTGTCCGGCACTACCACCTTCACTTTTGGCAGCCAGTGGTAGCAGGGACCACCTTCACTTTTGGCAGCCAGTGGTAGCAGGGACCACCTTCACTTTTGGGGGACCCGGCTCCCCCTATCGCACCTCTGGCTATGAACTTCAACTAATTATGGGCAGCCAAGAACTTAAGCAGGAAAATGAAAATGTGAGCAGTCGAAGGGTAAACGTTGAGGAACTATTAAAGCATGTCTACGCTAGACAGCGAGTTCCGAATCATTCATACCGGCAGAGTTCAAACTTGCGAAAGAAGAGGGGGGGTACTGTTAGCAATCTTACGAGAGCGTCGGCCCCTTCCCAATTGTAGCCTTTTTGCACTTAAGAACCGCACCCCTTTTGGACGCCTTCCTCGAGGAGACACGATATTTACCACCCCCTGTACCCCTACGAAAACACGCTAGCCTTGTAGACAATCTGCACCCTCCGCACCCTCGGCAATCACTCGCCTCAGTCCGCAACTTGTCAACATGTAAGTGCAAAACCTTGCCATTCTTTATTATAGAATGATCAACAATGAGTATTCTTATATTTAGAGGAGAGCCAAAAGTCACTGATTAATTAGTTTCGTGTTGCCCACAACTGAAAGGTATAAAACGTAGGTGTAATTGTGTTGACAATCATACGGCTAAATTGTATTGCCCCAACCCACTTGCAAGCGGCCCTTAGGGTCGCTAGTCTATATTAAAGAATGGCAAGGTTTTGCACTTACATGTTGACAAGTTGCGGAATGAGGCGAGTGATTGCCGAGGGTGCGGAGGGTCCAGATTTGTCAACAAGGCTAGCGTGTTTTTGAAGAGGTAAGCATCGTCCCTCCTCGGGAATGTTTTCGAAAGGGTGCGTCTCCTAAGTGCAAAAGGTATACAAAAGGTGGGAGGGTGCCGACACTCTCGTAAGGTTGCTAACAGTACTCCCCCCCCCCTCTTTCGCAAATCTGTACTCGATGTATGACTTGGGAACTCGTTGTCTTGCGTGAACATGCTGTAGTAGTTTCTCAACGTTTACGCTTCAACTGTTCACACTCTCATCTTCCTGCTAAAGTTCTTGGCAGCCCGTAGTTTTCAAAGTTCATGGTTGCTTATAATTGGTGAGGACTGATGAGGACAGTTCTTTGTTTTCTTTGTTCTTCTCGAAATAAAAGTTGGTAAACGGCCCGTAGAGCGATTTTTATAGGTCTCTAAGGCTCATAGGGCAATCATCTCTTACACTCCGGTCTATTAGCTGTCCATTGGGTAGACCTTTCAACAAATGTAGTTGTTCATAGGACACTTTCTTGATTTGTAGGGGCTCGTAAGACAGTTCTGTTAATAGTATTGATCTGCAAGCTTCACGTAGCGAGTTTTTTCCACAAATCATTGAATTATCGTGCCGTAAGCTTCGCATATGGCAAAATTATTTCTCAGACGCTGATCTCTAAGCGGCCAGAGCGTCTCCTAGAATAGTCGGTCTGTATGCGGCGCATACGGGAGTCCCTTTGAAAGTTGGTTTGCATGAACGTGATATCGTAAGCGGTTCGTAATTATTTTTTTGTTTGGATACTGGGAAATCACAAATTCTTGTTTATAAGGGACTCGCAGAGCGGTTCTTTCTCAAATATCGATCTATGAGCGGCTCTTGAGGCAATTGTTTTTCCAAGATATGTTTTTTTTATATACCGGTCTGTAAGCGGCGCATAGCGCAGTTCCTTACCAAGATAATGGCCTGCAAGAGGCCCATGGGCAGTTAGTTTCTCACAAAATATCGGTTTGCAACCGCCCCTCCCTCCCCCCCCCCCTTCCCCCCATAGGGCGGCTCTATTCCAGGCCCATAGGGCAGTTTTTTCCCTTCAAATATCGGTCTGTAGAATCTCATACGGCATTTCTTTTTTGAAATTTTGGTCTGTAAGAGGCCAGTAAAGCAGTTTTATCACAGAATATCATTTGTATGGATTTCAAGGGCACTTCCTCGAAATACCGTTGTGTAGGTATCTAAGTAGCTGGTAGCTCCATTTTTCGATCAAAACTTCGGTCTTTGGCTCCATAGAGCAGATCATATGTGAGCGCTTCGTACGGCAGTACAATTTGTAGTGGTTCTAGGGTAATAGAATACTTTAGGATATCGGGCTGATTCCTATAGGGCAGCGCCTTCTCATAATTATTGGTCTATGGGGGAAGGAGGGGGGAGGGGGGGGGGGGGAATGCTTGTAAGGTAGCTATTTCTCAGAATATCGGTCTGTAGGGCGGCCTTAGCGCAGTTTTTTCTCAAGTATGGGTTTGTTGGGGGTCAGGGGAGGGGTTTGTGTACTTTCTGAACCGGTACATAAGCTTCTTATATGGTAATTATTTTATATAAACATCGGTCTATAAGGATTGTGAGTAACTTCCTAACACTTTGGTCTGTCATCGGCCCATAGGGCATGTTCTTCCTATAGTTACCGGTCTACAGTGGCGCGTAGGGCTGTTATTCTTTGATACATTGGTTAGGACGTAAAGATATGTCCTAAGCAGCCTCATAGCTTCTCTTGTTTTCAAAATATTAGCTTGTGGTATACATAGGGCGGTTGTTTCTTGAAAAAATAGTCCAAGCGGCTCTTTGGGCATTTTTTGAAGGTTGGTTTGAAGATTTGAAGAGCAATTCCTTCTCAAAATATCGGTCTATGCGCGGCCCATAGGGCAACCTCTTCTCGAAGTAAAGGACCGCAAGCGGCTCATAGGCTTCTTTTTCATGTGCAGTTTTTTTTGCAGTTTTTGCAGCCCACAGGGCAGTTACTTCTCAAAGTAAGGATCTGTAAGCGGCCCATAGGGCATTTCCTTCTAATGACTGATCACCGTTCGCGGGCAGTTTCTTTCGTCTGTACAGCCCATACGGCTTCCTCGCAATATTAGTGTGTAGGGGACGTGGCAGATTTACCCAGAATATAATATCATTTATAGTTGTTCAGAGGACAGTACTTTCTCAGGTTACAACTCTGTAGAAGGCCCGTAAGAAAGCTTTTTCTCGTGAAATACCGTTCTGGACAATCGTAGGGCAGCTCTTACGTATGTCGCTCTGTAGGCAGTACGTTGAGCAGGGTTTATTTTAGAAAAAGTGGTCTGTTAGCGACACGCAGGTGTTTTCGCTGCCGAAATTTTTCGGGAACTAAAGTATGTAGCTGGGTTATTGTAGACTACATCGTTGTTCTGAGAATCGACTGCTTGGTGACTTTCAGTGAAGGTTGGTGGAAAAATTTGGCCCAAAGAAAATTTTTAGAAGGGACTCAAAAGATATCGACTATCAACTACGAGAATTCTTTTATATTTAGAGGAGAGTCAAAAGTCATTGATTAATCAGTTTCGTGTTGCCCACAACTGAAAGGTATAAAACGTAGGTGTAATTGTGTTGAGAATCATACGACTAAATCGTATTGCCCCAACCCACTTGCAAGCGGCCCTTAGGGTCGCTAGTATTATTATTGCTGAAATGACCAACGCGATTATCTCTTTGATCAGGAAAGTATGTTTTAAAACCTAATCATAACTAAAAACAGATTTTATTGTGACAATTCAAATCAAGCATTATAGGCGAATTTTGTTTCAAGTAAACTAATTCCAATAACTTGTGTATATCATTACATTTGGTAATGTTTCGGACAATCAGATACCTTAAATAGATAAATCAACCAAATGAATTAATCACTTAATCAGATAAACTCTTTTGCAAATATGCGGTCATATCACACAAATTTTTTCAGATTTCAGGAAAATCACACTGCACTTATATCCTTCGAATCCGCTTTATTATTTTATTTTGTTTAAGATGAAAACCACTTATCGTTACTATCGATAATTTCAATTTTTATTTTTGTATCTTTCTAACTCTGATGATTATTATTACTGAATGTCGTTTCTTGAATGTCTTTTGACCGAATTTTACTAAATAAATGAACATTATTTTGAAAAGTTTTTAAATTATTTTTCTTGATTGTTTCTAGTCTTTGGCTCGAATTTCAGCACCTAAGTAACTATTATTTTTGAGAAGTCTTGAAATGTCGTTTCTCAAATGATTCTAGTCTTTCCGGATTTAGCTCTCAAATAAATTATTCTTGAAAAGGCTCACGGTTTCTTGAATAATTTCACAGAGTTTTGTCTAAATTCAATTCTTAAATAAATTTCTGAACAAAAAAATGATGTTCCATGAGTTCCAATCAGTAGAAATGTTATGATGACGGCACTTTTTCCCTTTCGTTTGAACCTAATTTCGCCTTCGTACGATCATTTTGAAGTTTTTTGGCGAAGACCCAGTTTCAGTGAGAGCTGAAGTTCATTTGAGATATTCAGCATTCCTTGGCCAGGTTCAAAAGCTTTGAAAGGGCGGGGCTTAGATTGTCGACATGTCCTAGGGAGCAATCGGAGATAGCGAGCATGACTGTATCCTGCAGGCATTCCCCGAGTTGGGCTAATTAGGCTCGGGTTCCTAATTTCCCTCACCCCGCTCAAGTACCAAGATCATCACATCAGTATCTCACTGGCAAAATTACGGCAAGGAAATCAAACGATTCTTTGAAATTAGTCGAGCTTCCCCCACAAACGAGCTCATAGCTTACGCGGGAGCTGCCTTTAGTGGACTAGGGACATGGCGAAGAACCAGTACCAAAGCTGTGATGCAGGGAACTCGTCCATCCATCGATAGGTGGGGCTAACGGTGCGCACCTTATTGACATATGCCTGCCTGAACGCGCGCTATCGTTCATAAAGTCCGCCACCCAGTTTAAAGTATACTACAAACAACTATGGACTTGAGGTACAGAGAAAGTGCCCAGTTGGGATACTTTCGTGTCTAGAAATGCGTTGAGCCATTTTGGTTGCCCGGCCTAATTTCACGTGTGGAACATTTGCGCTTATTCTTAAGCTACACATTGCAGGACCTGGGCTCTATGAATCCGCGTGAAGGTGGTAAGGATGGTGCTGAGTACCAATGTTTGTCGATTCAGTCTTGCACCTGTATGAAGCCGTAGTAGTTTTTGCAGTTCTTGTAGTTCTTGCAACTTGTACCTGATTGGAGAGTTGTTAATGAACGTTTTAGTTGTTGTTTCTGTGTCTATTAGTTACTCGCTTGCAGCGAAGCTCCTGAAGTTGATGAAAACACAGACAGAGCCGAGTTTGCTCTAAAATCGCAGGCCGCTGAGTGCAAAAACAATCATTATCAAAAACATCTAAGACGGAGATTATGCTCCAGGTTTTGATTATCTTGCTGTACCTGAAAACTTGTCATTACCTACACTTGTCAGACATCTGAGCACGCACGCGCTAAACATCTTAATCTATGCTTTTGGAAGTCACTTGGTGTTCAAGGGGGTGTTCGTGCAAACGAAGATACCCCTAAGATAGATAACAGGCTCCATTTGAACACTGCTCTAAAGCGGAGCAAAATACCAAGCCCACTTCGAAAGTCCGGTCTTGATCAAACTGAAAGGCAGAATACAAGGACAACTATTCGGCTAGGAACTTTGGTCAGAATCGAATTGAAATTCGTTCATTCGAATAGAACTTTCAAATATATTGGCATTCAAAATCTGAAATTCGGAGGTTTTCATTCTCAAACAAAGTTGGAAAACTCGAATTAAGAGAACTGGTTGCGTAAAATCGGAAACCAAATAATCAAAAAACGGGATTTTTAATAAATCGAAAACTCAATGCAAAGACGGGTTTTATGAAATTTGAAAACTTGACTCACTGGGAATCGAGGTTTCGAACGAATTTTATCCAAATGTTTTATTCGTATGTTTCATTCGCACTCGTATCGAACGAACTTCATGTTCGAATAATTCGAGTCTAGTGGGCGCAGAGCCGCATCGACCGAGCCGAGTATGTCAGCAAATCTTATTGTTAGATGGCTGTCCTGGATATTTGAAGAGATCATTCGAATAGTTGAGCAAGAAGTCAGGCATAAATCTACCAAAAATCACCCCCCCCCCCCTTCCCGGGAAAGCCCCCAAGCGACCCGTTCATCTTGCACTTCACCTCCGGAACCTCAGCTTGGGACATTTTGGAGGGCATTCCTGTCCTAAATAATCTTCGAACTTTTGAACTTCCACTTTTTGTAACTGCACTTTTACAAACATACACAATGTGACGGTGATTTACTGAGTGAGACTATTGAAAAAGCCGTAATTTCTACATGAGTTTGAGTAGTGCATGATTCCATTGACTTTCTCCGAAGTTTTTTTTACCCATTTTTGTGACTCGCTGGCATAAAAATTGAAGACTCTACAAAAGGTGTTTGAGTTTACATCAACTTGTTTCACTTGGTGGTGATCCGCCGAGTTGAGCGCTCAAGGTGATTGAAATTTTGGCAGACTTTTTAACCCACCATCTGTAAGCGATACGAAGTCTAATTTCTAGCATAGATCGATAGAACGTATTACTTTGCGACGAGAAAAAAAGGCTGACTTTGGAGTTAGTTAATGAAAACAAGGCTTTTCATACGTTAGGGATCACTAGAAAATGTGCTAGTTAATGGTTTGTAAAGCTCGTAGAGGTTCGATGACATGCTGATTACGGAAACCAATTTACACAGCAAGCTTCTTTGAAGACTTCATGGTATGTGCAAGGTGAGAAATGGAAAAGTCGCCCGAGACTTCGATATGGAAAACCGGTATTCTGTTCACGACAGTCATTTATTCAGTTTTAGTAGAATTTGATATCTTCCTTTCTAGCGCTTTTCTTTCTCACCTTACTCGGTGGTAGTATTTCCTCAATTTCAAACAAATTTGATTTTGATTACAACCAGAGCGTGCCGATAGAATCTGCACCCTCTTTGCCTTTTCCTGCTAGAGTACCGTAAGGCTCCAGCCAGAGTGCCAAGCCATGCCAGCGCTACGCCAGCGCCGAGCCAGCGTTTCGATCGATACACATGTATTTCGTTGGGGCGGGGCTAGCTGACCTAGTTCTCAGCAGGTAGATGTCCCCAACGAAATACACGTGTATCGATCGAAACGCTGGCTCGGCGCTGGCGTAGCGCTTGCATGGCTTCGGCACTCTGGCGCGAGCCTAAAGGTCATGCACAAGCATGACCGCTGTGTTATGAGTATCTCTTGCATGTTGTCTTACTTTGACACGCCTATCCTATGGAGCCAATAAAGCTACTACAGCTTATATGTTCTGCTTAACACAAAAAACCATCGATACACAGGGTCAAGCGTGGGGTTTGACACTCTACACCTGGGGGTCGCATTAAGGGATCAGAGGGGGGAGGAATCATGATCGATTTGATACTGATGACAGCGATAACATGACATGTGTACAAAAACAGTAAAGAAAATAAGCAAAATATGCAATTATGATTATGCAGTTACGATTACGCAAAATACAAGAACGCTGAGGTATTGACATATCATCATATACTTACCCTTTGATTCAACTGGCTTGGCGACTGGGAGGCGGGATTTCGTGACCTAATCAAGGCTAGGTAGTGGTCAGAGAGCACGCGCACGGGAGAGACGCAGACTGCATCGCGGGCGCGGGCGGCCTTAATTAGGTGGCGAAGCTCCGCCTTCCAGCAGCCAAGCCCGTTGAATCAATGGTTACAGCAGGCATAGCAAAAAGCCCAACCAATAATGTATGATGTAGTCGTAATTCGCATGTCGATCAAATCCTGTGGATCAAGTTTTAGCAAATCCTGAGGTTTTCAAATATTGAGCCACAGCCAGTGAAATGGTCATTTTCGAGCACGATAACTTTGCTTTGAAGGTCAGCTATCTCTTTTTGCACAATTTTATGTCCGGAAAATAATGTCGCATCGTGTTTTATCATGCAATGACAAGATGATCAGCATGCAATGAAGTGGTAACAGTTGTCTTGTTGGAGAAGTCGCGAGGCGATGAAATCGCGTGATGTAGTATGCCCGGCCCTTCAGACATTCGCGCCAAGTTTGATATCCATAAAGACTAAAGCCAAATTTCGAAAGGCACTAAAGGCGTAAAAAATTGTAAAAATCGTATTTTCTTCCGAAGAAATTTTGAAGATATCCAAGCTGTTCACGCATTCCCGCTCAGACTCTCGTGAACACAGTTTCGTGGCTTTTCCATGGCTAGAAATAGTGAAAACGAAATATAGCATATTCTTGCTAAAGCAGTCCTGGCTTCTCCCAGATAAGTGATTAGTTAGTATAAATCTTTGGAAGTATAATCACGATTTCGGCTTTCTAGAAAGGCTGGTTTTCGAGAAAATCCAATTTTTCGCAAAAAAAAACCCTGGAAAACTCGACAAATTCGCACTTCTGACCTATTTTTCTTCCTCGTATTCTAGCCATGGAAAATTCCAAAAACTGTATATTAGGTTGCTGCATAGTTGTGTCCGAATTGAAATTTTTGAGTTCAAAACATGAAACACATATTGAGACCTGCGCAAATCCTTGTTAAGAAAGAAGCAAGAATGCAAAAACTTAACAGCGTTTTTCTTCAAATCTGTCTTTTTTGACATGGCAACGCTCCCTTATGAGAATTGCTAAACATCTTATCTAACAATGGATAGATAGAGAAATTTTCGTATTTTATTATGCAACGTGAAAGAGCCCATAGGGTCTGCGCTGCCGAGACATTTTTTTGACCGAACAAAAAATTAGCCACTTTTTGACCTCGCTTCAGCACATGTGTGCATGCGTATTTACGAATCATGAAAATTTTACAATTGACGTGAGCGCCGAAAAGGAACTGGTGGATGGGCCCTGTTAGCTCTTGCTTTGCCCTAGCACCTCCAACTTTGAGCTTATCGATTACTTCTATTCGCAGCAAGTTATTGCTTGTAAAACATCTATACAGAAAATTGATGTTTGACAATAAATTTTATTAGCAAGACGTTTTCTTCATGAGACTGAACTTATGCGTATGCTAGCTTGTTACACCCTTATTCCGCTACCAATTGAAAAACTTGACTTGAAGGGCGCATTGGGGAGATCTTCTCGCAAGAACATATTTCTAGGGTGATAGCGTACCTCGACCACTTGGAGATTATAGGCCTGAAATCTCCTTACACTAAGAAATTTATTGAAATTTGATATGCTTTAGAAAGCGCAAGAAAAGCACTTTCTAATGATACTAACAATACCGCATTAGAGATTAAATCCTCTTAGAACAGCTGCTTCAAACATGAGGCAAAAAAAATCGGACAGAACTTGCAGCAACCTAATACTTGAATATCTGATGCGGAGAGTATATGCCGAGCAAATGGACTGGGATTCGATTTCTTGAGTATGCGATATTGTATTTTGGCCTCAAAGTTTACGTAAGTCAAAGACTGCTCATGTGTTTGGACGCTTCCTTGTTCTATCAAGTAATACCCCCACTCACATTTCATTTCAATTCATTGACTGCATAAAGGGTAACCCTATGCTAATCAAAAAAAGCAAACAACGAAAAAAAAACGAAAATAAAAAAACGCAACGAATATGCGCGGTTATGTAGCTCATAGACAACCCATGTTAGTAACAACATTTCACTGAGACTGTAGAGCTCCTCAAAGCGCTTAAAGGAAGACAACTTTGCAGGAAATAAGCATTTTCTAATGAGCTTATCCATGTCGTTAGTGACATGACATGTATGGAGATAATCAGTTTCCTACTTCCACCTCTTGTATTAGATATTCTAGTGGGGAAACACTGCTCTAATTTCTGTAGTGATAAGATGCAATGCGACATTATTTTCTGGACAACCTAAAACAAGCCACTACTCCTTCCCTGCCCACATGAGAAATTCCACTAAAACGGCCAAAGTATGGTTGAGAGTCCGCCAAAATCCCATTCCTCTCATTTTTCGCTGCTTTCAGCGACTACTGCTCAAACAAAATGAGACGAATTAGGCTCAAAACATCCCTACAAAAACTAGAACATATGAGCACGGAGTAGTGCTTTGTACTGAGTGCAAAAAAAGGTTGCCAATGGACATTTGAGTCGAAGTCAATCACGTTTGAAAATGACTACTCCTAAGTGCCCCAGCATTTGGGAATCTCAGAATTCGCTAAAACTTCGTTCACAGGGCTATTAGACATGCTAGGTAGATGCCAATAAGTTGATTGTGCTTGCGCGATTTCATGTTATAATCAAAGACTAGCGACCCTGCAGGTCGCTATAAATGGATTGAAGCAAATGCTTGAAAGTTTCTGCATTTCAATGACATCTTCCTCCATATTCTTATCCTGTTTGGAAATTTTTCGCCGAATCAATTGAACTGAATTTGCTCCAAGGTAGATTCCTTATCGGGCGGAGAGAGTCTGAGAGAGTAACCTTCTCCTTTTGCGAGACTCGAGTGTTATCCGCTACAATTCTTCATGACAAACGCTTGCTCCACCAGAAAAATGCAGTCACTCTCTCCTTTATAGAAAAGAAAGATCTCCCCAATTGAACGCTCATCTACCAGCGAGACCTATACTCAAGCTTGAATTCCCCCATAGAAGCTCAACTCCACCAGAGAGACCCACTTTTTAAAGTGCTTTTCTCCTCTTTGAAGAAAAGCAGATTTCTTTGAGTAGGCGCCCGTTTCCAACAGCCCTTCCTACAGGATTAGGAATGCTTTCCCTAGTAGAAGGTCATTTCCACCAGCTCGCCGGCCACACCCACTTACTCATGTTTGGTTTCCCCAGGTAAAGGCTCATCTCCACCAGGAGACCCCGTTACTTAAATGCAGTGTCCGGGCAAAAACTCGATTTCTAGAAAATCCAGTTACCGGGGGTTATCCGCAACGCTGAATCCGAAAATCCACATTAGAAGGCGCATAAACGGCAAAAACATGCGTTTTCCAAAGCCTTACAATTTGAAATCCGATGGTCCCCGCCAAGGCTAAGACGCAGAGTCACTGCGGGCCCCCTACGAATTTGACTGCTGCGGCATGCGTACTCTGCCGCATAGCAGGAATTCGGACAGCTCGGAGGACCCCTCCCCAAGGCGTAAGTTTCCCCACTTTCCGGTGGTTTTTCTTGCTTTAGGTCGAGTATGACGTCGCAGTCGCGCGATGTTGTGTCTGAGGGGTGCCACTTTCGCATGGCACTGAAATCCCAAAACCCCCATCTTGCCCGCACACTGCCTTTGAAGGCACCATCCATCCAAAATGGAGGTTGGCGAGATTATGATGGCATACTAGTGTGGGCCCCCATGCTAAGCAAACCCCCAAGCTTCGCCGCAAAAGACTGCTTCTGGAGCGAGAAATCCGCTCCGGAAGTGGCAAAGTAGGCGGGGCGACCATGGTCGCCCTGCCCCATGCTTTATCTCGCCTGCACTTATTGCAGAGGGTTCTCGAAACAGAAATTTTGGGGGTTTTTTCGCGGATTTTCGACTCCATCTCGGAATCAGGGCATTCAGAAGGCCTGAAGGCGACAAAAACATTGAATTCGAGATTTTGGGTGGGCGATGCCTGTAAAGGATTGGATCTAAAAAAAGCTTTTCCACAGCGTGACCCACTTACTTGTTTTCATATCTTCAAGAAAAGCAAGATTTCCCGAGTAAATCGTCCGCGCCTGAGACCTAGTTACTCAAGCGTTGGTCCTTAAGTGGAAGCTCATATCCACCAACGAAACCCAGCTAGCCGAAGCATTGGATCCCCCAAAGTAATTAAACGTTTTTCTCCACTAGCAAGACCCAGTTGCTTGATTGCTTTCTACATAAAAAGCAAAATTTCCCCGAGTGCTCATCTCCATCGGCGAGACTTAGTTACACTTAAAGATAATGCTGGAAGGGAGGGGGGGGGGGTCCTATTGAAATTCAACGAGGGCCGTATCCGGCGGTCGTGCGTCGCGCCTCTTGCTTGACCATGATTACAATTCCCCTCAGTCTTAGGCCCTGGGCAGAGCTCATGCGATTTCGGGTAGAGGACTATATGTCGCCGAAAAAGGGCGGTCCCTGCTGTCATTTGCGACAAATACGCATCCTTGTACATGTGCGGACAAGCGTTCCTGCAAGGAATCCGTGCGGGACTCTTCCAAATTCGGCGACATATAGTCCTCCACCCTGCGATTTCGTCGCGTCGCGCCCTATCATTTTGGACAAGTGTTCCACGCCACGCTGTTTAGTGTGTGGGTCCCGACGCGTTTGTGACGGCTGCGCGGCGCGACGGATCGCGCCACACTTTTCGGCGTGGCGCCATCTATTCCTACCGGGCTGGCTGCGCGGGCGGTTCGCGCGCGGCTGCCGAGTGGCTTGGGGCGCACAATTTCTCGCTTGTGTGCAGCATGGTTTCTACCGCTGTTCATCGGTTCATGTGTGTTGATATGGAGTTGTAAATTCATTACGAAGTACAACTAGTGTAGGCATGCTTACAAATATGTAGACTGTTTATTTTCCGTGGTACCAATGACTAATCGGGATGGTTCATATAATTGACAATGCCTTTCGTTTTCCTAGTCTGGAAGCTCTGATTTTCGCTAATCTCTACATGAGCATGTCAATGGTAAGAGTTGATTGTTTTGAATGTTTGCCTCTATACTGCAAAGCTGTCACTGGTCCATACTCATCATTCATTCTGTGATTAAGGTACTCGAGAACACTTTGCGTATGTCTTACTTATAAGTTCTTGATTTCAAACTTAACGCATACTGGATAAATTACTATATGGAGTTTGCGAAAGAATATGTTCAAGCCTGTAAAATAGTGCGCTACAGCGTGCCTCGAGCATCCTACTCACAGAATGGATGATGTTCGACGTAGTTGTTATACAATAATTGAATTACAATACAATAAGCATATACAATAAGCATTCCTTATTAATCTCTGCCGCTGATGAGTCAGAAGTAAAGTAAGTGTGTAAAGATTTGCTGAAAATAAGCGGAACGTCTTCACGCATTGAGCGCAAGACTGCATCACTACTAATTCATCGCATTCTATGGTAATACCAATCAAAAAGAGATAAGACGATGCAGACAGAGTAGGGTTTGATGCTAAGCATGCTAAGCATATTTCCAGCAGTCTCAGTACACGTAGAGTACACCAGTAAACCTACTTGTCAAGTCTCGCCTTAAACTATGCGTGGAGCAGTTCATGAGCAGTTGCGCGGTGATATGTATCTAAATCCTGCTGCTTTAAACATTCGCCAGTTTCAGCTATGAATAAGGAGAAAACGCCAAATCCACAGCGTGTCATGCGTATTGACAGATGGAGCTGGAAGGTTGTTATAGTCGAACGACTGAACGTTTAGACAGCGCAATTTTTCGTCATCGGCTCGATTTACTGCTAATAGAAGGATCCATAGAGATGGATTGAGCTGCTTTGATTGACAAGTTACCCAAAGTTTACTTGCTGACAATGGCTTAGAGGGCTATAGAAAAAACCGGAATATCGATGAAGCTGTTAGATAACAGTCATGTTTTGACAGTCTCATTGCCATTTATTTCTCTAGTAATCTCACTATGATATAATCGCATATGGATTTCGAAGCTCCTCATATTGTTTGCATGTACATTATGTTAGAAAGATGGGGTCAGTTTGAGTCTTTCATCTACAATTTCCTACATCTCATATATCCTAGGCTGCCAAAAAGATCCGTTACAAGCTCTAACCTATACGACTGCGCATCGAATACTTAAAGAATGTGCTCACAGTCTACGTTGACGATGGTATGCAGCAAATTACGAGATAGAGCTTTGCATGAGGTAATAGCAGTATTTTCGTCTACCATGTGCAGCACATGGATGATTGTAGAGTTGAAAACATCGTTTTGCCGCGTGACGGTCCTTTCGGAATGTCCGCAGCCACTGGTGGCCTTGCCGGTATTGTTTCCTAGTTGATGCTTCCCAACAGTCACTTGATTATGAGCCATTTTTTCCAGAACCACGATGTCGTTGACTTCTCCTTTTATTGTTGATCACCTGGGTGCATATTGTGATTGGTATCAGTCGGATGCTATCTGATAAACTTTGAAACTTTCTTTGTCTGCTGTTACACCTTTTTTGAATGACAGGATTTAGTAAAGCCAACGAGAGCACTGATTTTCGCTAATTAGAGTACGTGCAATGTGTGAAGTGTTGTGCAATTGCATGAAATCGCGTCGGAGGTATGCACGCCTCCGGCTACTGAGCGACTCAGTCGTCGCGTCCCAGTCGCCACTTTCGTGCAAGTCGTCGCGACTGGAGATCGCGCGACTTCGTCGCGTGAGCTCTGCCCAGGGCCTTACTCCCTAATCCGACCTCCCAGGTCAGGCACCTGACCCACACTCAATCCCGGTCATAGAATGGTAAACTGAGCTTCTACGACCGCCCACTGAGGAGAGCTCTCAGTTTTCGAAGAATTTGCATGAGCTGTGCGTCTACGGACAAAACATAGCAGCGGCCGGAAATTTGAAAATTTTGCACTCGTTTCACTTCCCGAGCGGTATTTCGCACAATATTTGACAAATCCTTGGCTTAGTAATTCAGGTGAGATGAAAATACTTTTATTCATAATTCCATGACTCTTATTAGATTTGTTTGAATCCATGTTGTGAGCACTGTGTCTCATTTGTGTATTGCTAAGTTCGTTCTTGCATTTCTATGTTAAATGAAATGCGTTAAATATTCGTTTCTAGTCTCTAGCTTTTGATGGAAGTTGACGACGCACCTGTGGCATCTGACGATGTGATAAAAACCTTTGTCGATGAGGTGAGTGAGAGCTTGCAAAGCCGCCTACGTCTCTTTGATACACAATTAGACATATCTGCGTAGAATGTGCATGGTTCATTTTTAAAATTGTGACGACGAGTCTTACTGCGGTCTTTGCGCACATAGGAGCATAAGACACCCATACAAACAGGCCTCACTTCAACCGCTTAACTCAGTCACTTCCAGTGTCTAAATACTATCATATGTAAGCAGGAAAACCTGTCGCGCGCGGTCGTGCCATCGTCACGATTTTTTGAATGCCCTATACATACATGAATAAGTCCTGGTGAACTTCGCGGTTTTTCAGTCACTTATCTCACAAAGCTTTATCTCAAGTAGAACACTGTGTATTGTTTTTGTCTTACAAACAATTCGCATCGTTTATCTCACTGCGGATACCCTTAAATCTAGCATGTAGATCCGCACGGATCATTGTGGTGAGAAGGACAGACTTCTTTGTTGGCGGAGTTATCTAATGTGTGAACTGCTCGTTCTTTCATGAAAGAATAGCGCTGTTCGCTAGAGTGCGGACATATGGGTCGTTCATAAAATCGTGGCGATGGCAGCGTCGCGCGCGTCGCGTACGCGGTTTCGGCAACTGTCATCTGCTTTCGTTTCTACTCTAAGCATTTTGATATGAATTTGATAGCTGCTAGGTTTTGAACTGGATGAGCTGAGCATTTAAGTTCACCTTTTGCTTTCTTATGTGCTCTTTGAGGTTTGGATGCGCGCAAAGTCCGCGGTCGATTTCATCGTCACAATTATGAAGACTTTACCCATGATAATGCCATGATCTAGGTGGAGCATACTGCTCGTCAAGCTCGCGTCGCTGCCCACAGCCATGTGAAAGGGCTTGGACTTGATCCTAGCACCGGAGAAGCTCTGCCCAATGTAATTCCCCACAAATAATTGACATACAGTTGTAAGTATTGATCTAGGCAGGGGGACTTGTTGGTCAAGCTCTTGCTCGCACATCTGCTGGTGTCATCGTTGATCTTGTCAGAGCGAAAAATATGGCTGGTAGAGCTGTGCTTTTTGCAGGACCTCCAGGAACAGGTACTTTTTTGCTGGCGATAGCTTTTTGGTTCATCTCGAGCCGCCATTCTTTGTCAGTGATTAATATTCAGACAGTGTTGAAAGTATTTTTTGGCTTAGGTAAGACAGCGATAGCTTTGGCAATGGCTCAGGAACTCGGGGATAAAGTGCCTTTCTGCCCAATCGTTGCCTCGGAAGTCTACTCAAGCGAAGTGAAAAAAACCGAAGTGCTTATGGAAAATTTTAGAAGAGCGATAGGTACTTTCTTTGCAGCTTTGCCAAGTAATGGATATCTTTTGCTTCAGGATTGCGTGTTAAGGAAAAGAAAGAAGTTTACGAAGGTGAAGTAACTGAGCTTACTCCTGTCGAGACTGCAAACCCTCTCGGCGGTTATGGTTAGTCAAGTTGGTTGAGTGTTTTTTTTTAATAACATTATTTTTCACATAGTGTTCGTATGAAAGCTGCACCTAGGTAAAACTATCTCGCATGTGGTTGTCTCATTGAAAACAGCCAAAGGTAGCAAGCAACTCAAGCTGGACCCTAGCATTTATGATACTATTCTCAAGCAAAGGATAGAAATAGGCGACGTGATATATATCGAAGCTAACAGTGGTGCAGTAAAGGTTTGAGGTTAATAGAAGAATACTGCAAATGTCGACATTACTATTTGTAGCGGCTAGGACGCTGTGATGTTTACGCCTCGGAATTTGACCTCGAAGCGGATGAATTTGTTCCATTACCCAAAGGTGATGTGCACAAGACTAAGGAGTTAGTACAGGTGAGCCAGCATTGTATTTACGTGCTCAGTTTGCCATACCTGTGTGCCCTTTATTAATTTCATTATTTACATCTTTCGCCTGTATCATAGGCTCTCAGATTTGTCTTAAAGGCAGCGTCCAGTCAGATCTGGACCTATGGGGCTTTTACGTGGAAAGTACTTTTGGGGCCCTAACTAAGGCACTGCCCAAGCGGCAGCTCAGGTAGTGCTGTAATGGCTAAGATATTCCCCTCGGAAGTGGACCCCGCGACCGTTCGCATGGATTCATGGCGCAAAGCGTGGATCCTGGCGCGAAACTGCCATGAATCCATGCGAATACGTTCGTGGGGGCCAGTTTCGAGGGGAATATCTCAGCCATTAGAGCACTACCTGAGCTGCCGCTTGGGCAGTGCCTTAGTTAGGGCCTCAAAAGTACTTTCCACGTAAAAGCCCCATAGGTCCAGATCTGCCTGGACGCTGCCTTAAGGTAAGCACAAAATCTCAAAATCGAGTTTGTGCTCGAGCACTACCTTTACGGCGGAGCTTGGGAACTTCTGATAACGTTGTTGATCCATGCTCTTAGCAGCCACTTTTCCACTTCTCTCTAAAACTGGAGAGGAGATGTATTCCGATAATGCGGTCTTAGTTTCTGACATTAGATAGACTGGATCGTTAAAGGTTATGCACCTTTATGGTCTATGCATGGAGCTCGAAGTGTGTTTCTTAATCACTATCGGGCAGTTCCTTAGTCGATCGCTTAGTAATTTGCAAGTAACTGCTTATAATCTAAAACAGTATCGCCTCATTATTTTTCTCATGGTTCGAAATAAGCAGTTACAGTCACCTTTTTTGGTCGATATAAGGCAAAGATGTTGTTAGCAGTGAAATTGTAGTATGTGGGCTTTCCGTTCTGTCAGTTGATCTTATCCATAATCGAGGCGAAGAAGAGTGATTAGGAGTTCGCGCGCTGACATGTCCAGTTTTTACTTTGGGTACATTGACAGACTTGGTGGTATTGTGCGTAAACATTGCTTTTTCTCGTTCACAACTGCAGTTGGTTCGACATTCCATCCATTTTTCTTTGCAAAATAATCAAATTCTACCAACATCTATTAAGGATGTCACCTTGCATGATCTCGATATGGCTAATGCTCGTCCACAGGGACAACAAGGCAGTCTCAGCCTTATGTTTAGTCAGCTGTTCAAACCAAAAAAGACGGAAATTACTGGTTAGTCAATCCCTCACAATCGATTCATTTGGTAACTGTGTCATTTGAGCATGCTTTTTTCAGATAAACTTCGGAGTGAAATCAATAATGTTGTCAACGATTATATAGACCAGGTAAACTGTTCAACTTCAGTATCTTTAGGTGAAGGATCAGGCGTTAGGGTTTACAGTTAGTAAAAGAAAGAATTATTGAAGTAGACGATCATTGTATGGAAAAAGGAAGACGGAGCTAACTGTATAAAGTCAGCTACAAAAAGCATCTCGCTTTACAACGATGATAATGATTATGATCTACCATTCTGATGGTGGAGTTAGCAAGCAGCAGTGATATATCGAAAATATCGAGAATCAAGAACTCATTCAGTCCATGTTGTATGTGAGCTAACTCTTCAGGGTGTAGCAGAGTTGATGCCTGGTGTGTTGTTTATTGATGAGGTGCACATGCTGGATATTGAATGTTTCACTTATCTTCATCGTGCTCTTGAAAGTACGATCAGTCCTGTTGTCATATTTGCGACAAATAGAGGCGTCAGCAAAGTGAGGTGAGAACCATTCTCTTGAATTCTGTACATATGGCTTCTCAGTAATTCATTTCTTTAAGGGGAACAGACGAGTTATCTCCACATGGAATACCACGAGACTTACTTGATCGACTACTTATCATTCCTACCGTCGAATATTCTCTAGAAGAACTCAAAAAAGTGAGTAATTTAGGAAATAATGTTCCGTGTTCCTCCTTTTTCTTCTTTTTTTTTTCTCAAAAGACGGCAGCGCGCTGAGAAAGTTTTGTGTGAGAGTGACTCACCATAAAAGACCCGACTGAGTACCCAAATTTTTCTGAAACATGCATGTAGTAAGGAGCGAAAGTAAGTTTAGGAGAAATGGAGTAGGTTGCACTATATCCTGAAAAGGACGCCGAACCTTTTTGCCATCCTTTCTATTATCTTGCGCATGCTCGATAGACTTGCCTGAAGAAGCGCGTCTGCAGCTTTCCAATTTTGGGGCTTTCTCATAGGTGCGATGAGGTGAGCCGAAGCTCACCCTCCCTTCACTTTGGAGCCTGGGCCACCCCCCCCCCCTTCACCTGGAACGCTTATGGTGCTGATGAACAGCTTATTTGGCGCTTACATCTGTAAATAATTTGCTATGATTATTATTGTCGCAAATAAATATATTGCGGTATATGGAGTGCAATAAACGAATTAAATGTTTAATTGTGTCGTTTCAAGCATTATAATTGTTATAGTAATGAGATTAGTGTAGTTTGAGTCAAAGCAATCTTTAACTGAGCTTTCCATAGGATGCAGAAAAAAATGGATCCTGAAGTGAATTTTTTGTCAAGGTATTAGGTTGCAAAAAACAAAAATTAGGAATTTCAAAGTGTAATAATTGTTGTACATGAGTATGAATCTGAAAGATAACGGTCTAGGTGCATTGCACTCATAAAGAGCTTTCGACTGAGATATAATATGTTGGCCTGGAACGACGTCGCTATGGAATCATCAGTCTGCTGAAATGTAAAAAATCAGGATGAATCAAGGTTTTCAAAATTGAATAACTCTTGTATATGATATTGTGTCTCGATGGGAAGGGTGTCTGTGGAATATACTCGTTATAAGCTTTCGAAAGGTGCACAACAAGTTGGCCTGAATGGAGTTCTTTACAGAAAAATCGTGCCTCAAATAGAGGAAAAATCACGGTGTTAAAAATCGATTTTTTAAAAATAACTATTGTGTCTTTGAATGAAATAGGAAGGGAAGGGTATAGGCAAACTCTACTTCTGAAGAGCTCTCGATTGATATATAATATGTGGGGGGTTCATGCTGCTGAACTTCGGGAACAGGGGATGAGCAGATTTGGCCGAAGTGCTCACCTCCAAGGGGCGAGATAATGATATAAAGTGAGAGAGGCTGAGCATTTCGGCCAAATCTGCTCACCCCCTGTTCCCGAAGTTCAGCAGCATGAACCCCTTACATATTATATATCAATCGAGAGCTCTTGAGAAGTAGAGTTTGCCTATACCCTTCCCTTCCTATTTCATTCAAAGACACAATAGTTATTTTTAAAAAATCGATTTTTAACACCGTGATTTTTCGTCTCTTTGAAGCACGAATTTTCTATAAAGAACTCAATTCAGGCCAACTGTTGTATACCGTTCGAACGCTTATGATGAGTACATTCTGCTGTAATGTAAAAAATCACCGAACACCCTTCCCATCGAGATATAATATCATTTGCAAGAGTTATTTGATTTTGAAAACCTTAAATCATCCTGATTTTTTACATTACAGCAGAATGATGATTCCATAGCGACGTCGTTCCAGGCCAGCATACTACATATCAATCGAAAGCACTTGATGAGTGCAATCCAAATACACCCTTCCCATCGGCATACAGTATTATTTACAAGAGTTACACAATTTTGAAAATCCTGAATTTTTATATTTTAGCAAACTGTGACTCCATAGTGACCTCGTTCCAGGCCATATTATATATCAGTCGAAAGCTCTTTATGAGTGCAATGCACCTAGACCGTTATGTTTCAGATTCATACTCATGTACAACAATTATTACACTTTGAAATTCCTAATTTTTGTTTTTTGCAACCTAACACCTTGACAAAAAATTCACTTCAGGATCCATTTTTTTCTGTATCCTATATGGGAAAGCTCAGTTAAAGATTGCTTTGACTCAAACTACACTAATCTCATTACTATAACAATTATAATGCTTGAAACGGCACAATTAAACGTTTAATTCATTTACTGCACTCCATATACCGCAATAAATTTATTTGCGACAATAATTTATAATCATAGCAAATTATTTACAGTTGTAAGTGCCAAATAAGCTGTCCATCACCTGAAAAAAAGCTGTTATATACAAAAAAGTAGATTAAAAATCCAAAAATTTTTTTTTAAATAAAAATAAAAAAATAGAAAGTGAAATATGCAATACTTATAAATTACAAAATTATACAGAAAACAAACTAAAAATACAATATATCCTCACTATAATATAATATACACAAATAAAAAAATACAAAAATCAAGTTATGCAATCTCAGTAGAAATTATACAGTGCTGGACATAATTATACAGCCACTCTAGAAATCGTCGTAATTCTCGTTCTGCCAATGAATCTGTCTGAAACTTTGCTGTATTGTGCGCATGTCACCCTAACATGACCCCTCAAAACGGCTTCCAGTCTTGTTGAGTTTGAACGGAGAAAACGAAAAAATTCGAAAAAGCCCTCTTTGAAAGCTGGACATAATTATAAAGCCACCTGGTTTTTCTAATCACTATCGCATTCGTTGAAGCTCAAATTTTTTTGTACAATTACATCCCAAAATATGAAACCTTTGCAACACTTACGGCCTGTCCTCCTACTCAAATAGAAGCAATCGCTGCATTTCTTGCTTTTAAAAGCATTAAAAGTCAATCTCCTTCAACAAACAACTGCTTTAAAGAGTTTTCAAGCTCTTGTTCATTCCAAATGATAATCATGGAATCTACTGACCCTTCTGGATAGATGAGGTGAAGAGCGCTTTCGTAAACTCTGCGTAATCGCTGATTTTGACGGACAGACTCCAACCTCACCATAGGCTTGGAACGCTTTTAAACCACAAAACTCAGTTTGCAATGTCCACAAAGTGCTGAATTTGATTTATTACATAGCCTAGATGGGGATACAGCTTTCGCAACAACTTTCAGATTTTCCCTAATGATGCGGTAGCGATTTAGACCTGAAATACTTTCCACGAAAATTCCCTGCGAGCAGAAGATTCGATATAACCCTAGATCTCTTTATTTCCCTCTGTGTTTTATGTCATACTTAACCCGGTGATTGAGAGTAGCTAAAATTTTGAAGTTTTAAGCGTCTCCGGACTTATCTCGTGATCTAAGTTGGCTTTGATTGTGCAGGGTGCTCCACTCAACATTCAGTGGATGTCAACTGCGGCTGAACCAGAGTGCTCAATCTCGAAATATTTTCCAGTCATGCACACGAGTTCACTGTTGTATGGCTGTCGTAATGGCTACATTACAGTATTTTCTGTCGCTTGAAAATCGAGTTTTGTAGTGCAAAAGTGCGTCAACCCTATGGTGAGGTTGGAGTCTGTCCGTCAAAATCAGCGATTATGCAGAGTTTACGAAAGCGCTCTTCACCTCATCTATCCAAAAGGATCAGTAGATTCCAAGATTGTCATTTGAAATGAACAAGAGCTTGAAAATTTCTTCAAAACAGTTGCTTGTTGAAGCAGATTGAATTTTGGTGCTTTTGAAAGCGAAAATGCAGCGATCGCTTCTATTTGAGGAGGATGGCAGGCCGTAGGGTGTTGCAAAAGTTTCATATTTCGGGATGTAATTGTACAAAAAAATTTGAGCTTCAACGAATGCGATAGTGATTAGAAAAACCAGGTGGCTTTATAATTATGTCCAGCTTTCAAAAAGGGCTTTTTCGAATTTCTTCGTTTTTATCCGTTCAAACTCAAAAAGACTGGAAGCCGTTTTGAGGGGTCATGTTAGGGTGACATGCGCACAATACACTAAAGTTTCAGACAGATTCATTGGCAAGAACGAGAATTACGACGATTTCTAGAGTGGCTTTATAATTATGTCCAGCATATGTCTGTCTGTATATCAAAATTCTATTAATTACAAAAATTATTTAAAAAATTTTGGAATAAAATCTACCCCCCCCCCCTCCCCACGGTCGACGTCGGAACTCCGACACCCTTCACTTTTGAGGGTCAAAAACAGCCGAGACACCCTTCACTTCGGAGGGTGCCCGGCTCACCCCATCGCACCTATGGGCTTTCTCCGTCGATCATGTCTTCTGCGTGTGTTGAGTATATTGCATCTCAGAGTTCGCATGATTTTAGTTTTTTTTGGCCGTAAGGCGCGGATTGCACAGCGCATGCGCTGTCTTGAAGGCAATCATAGCATCCAGAAGGCGAAATATCGTCCGAGCATCTCCATTAATGCAACTTGGATTGACCTCTCGCTGTTCAGATTGGCTCGAGGCATTCATCATGCACCCCTTTCTTCCCTGAGAGAAGATATTTTTTGTTTTTGATTCAAGAAACTTTCGGATTCAGTACACCCACTATGCATCGAAACTATAATGAAGTATTTGAGGAATGGCATTCAATACATTCATGGTCATTCACGCTGAGTTGTCTCCAGCGATGTAATGTGATAGCAAAAAAAATGATCTGCGGATACTATTTGCCTACACTCCGAGTGAAGGCTTCTGCTTTTAATGCATCAGCTTCTTTGCTTTGGTCATACAATTGTATATACAGTCTTGGTGCACTCAGACTAAACCTTCTGATGCATCAGTTCCTAAGACATCATATTTGTTTTCATTTTTACGCACAATTCAATTCTTTTATATTCCTGCACGCGATGCATTGCTTTTCTTTCCAAATCATTCAAACTCTTTCAACTTCTTCATTTTCCCTATGCGATTTAGATAATCTCCATTCGAGCATCTGCAGAACATGTAAATCTGTCGCCGTCATGCCTCAAAATTGTAGCTGAACTCGCACACGAAACATCTATGAGGTGAGCCTTTTCTGCATTCAGTAGATCAAATCGTGATTTATGACCCTTCATTAAATTGGTACTAAGCAAATACAAGATAAAACTCTGTTCACTTGAAAAAATTTTTTTGCAGAGCTGTGACACAACTTCTCACTCCCGCACTCCTGCTTGCGCAAGCAAATGGACGTGAAAACGTTGAGGTGAGAAACTACAATTTGCAATATAAACTACTCATGCATTTGGCGACATTTGGCTCCTATTTGATTGCACCACCTTTGAGGTTGCGAAACAGATTATTGCTTCAATGACTTTTATAATCGTGGTGCGCATATTTCCATCATGATTGTGAGTCTCGGATATGTTTCATCTGCTCGCTCCAGATTTCAGAGGCGGTGCAATTGAATGGTCCCGCTAGATGAAGATGAATCGGCAGGGCTGTATGTGGCTATATGTTGCCGATAGGTGACACCTCGCGCGGACAGCTGATACATATCTGTATCTGTATAATCTGTAGTACAGTCGAGTAGATTCAGCGGTAAATATAGTGTGCTTGCACAGAAGGTGAAATGCGGTAAAATTGGCGCGTGAAGAAATAGCTTCGACTGTGACGCCGGCCAATTGCGCGCGCAAAATACCCGCAGTAGTGGCGTGGCTACTTGTTCACGCGCAAATTTCACCGCATTTCACCTTCTGTGCAAGCACACTATATTTACCGCTAAATCTACTCGACTTATGCATGACTGCGTAGTCTGGTGCAGATACGGCGTGGGACCACCTCCTCTCGGCGACGTATAGTCCTCTACCCAGATAAATTCATATATGAATAATAGGCAAATTCCAGGATGAGGACATCAAAGAGATAGCTGAACTTTTTGTTGTTAACCGGCACGCCAATTTCCACTGAATGTATCGCATGGAAGGTGCTTTTAAGTTGTTACTGTTATCCCGTTGTTGTTAAGCATTTTGCAATTTGACGCTACATTGTGATTCTCATTTCGTTCTTGTTATTATATATTATATCTAGAAAGTGACCACCGCAGATATAAAAATGAATTTTTTATTGCTGAATATAAATCAGGTTATGCATATAGCTAATTAAATACGCTATCCTTGTCGTCATTGCCACGATCAGAATATGAATCATAATTGCGGGTTTACGCGCTGTGCAAAACAACTTGATTTGCATTCGCTTCAAAGTGCGAAAGAAAGATGTTGCATGAGATCATGAGCCTATGAATCATTTGTACGGTCCTCAAATTCCTAAGAAAAAACGATAAGAATGAAAGTATTGCGTATGAGTCTTAGAGTAAAAGAAGACTGAGTCGTCACTTCTCAGATTGTCGTGTGACATCATGCAATGATTTGCTACGTCCCTTTACGGTCACTTCAGAGATCTGAAATTACAAAAAGTTATGAACTGCGCAAATGATAGCAGATGGAAACAGAGTTTGCGTTCTAGGCAACTCTCAAAATGCTGTAAAATTGAGAAAATTAGTTGCAAAGAAAGCCCATTAAGCTAACAATTATTTTGTGAGGATTCTTCTGTCGTGCTACTCCCCATCACAGAGACCGCCAGAGCAGAACATGTATTCAGAATTGTGAAATGAGTAGCTATTGAGGACCGAATATGAAGAAGATATGTTGCCTGTCGCCATAAACACGAATTATGAAGAGAAATTGTATTCGGGGTTGCTTAATATGCTAAGTAGAATAACCAGACTGGCTACTCAGACCGATGAAAATTTCCGTTCATTACAACTATAGAAGCTACTATGCTTCAGTTCTACTTTTGCAGTATGACTACACCACTTCCAAGAAAAACAAATATGCAAAAAATTGATCGTAAAAAACGACCATTCGTGATATCATAATTCGCTACGATTCGTACAGTATATAAATGCAGGCATGCACGAGACATTTCTTCCACGCTTCTGACACTTTCTCATCTGGAGAATCAGTCGAACAAGTGCAAAAGATCACATGCGTGGTAATTTGTGAACTTAGAACAATGCGTATTTTTTAAGCTTTTTCCAAGATGAAAACCATGTAAGCATCGACAAACGGACTGGTAAATCTACAACAATAACGCACCTTCCTGTTAGCATCAAAGTCTAGCTGCTGCTTGTAAAATATACAATTACGCAGCATTTCAGAGCAGTCATCGAATGTAGTAGTAGATTGTTGTATACTTTCTACAGTACTATAATGATAAAGTTCAGAAAATGGTGTGTAAGGAAGAAATCCAACCTCAGTGCATTCTCAAGATCAAATTGAACTCCCGACAGAAGAGCATTTTGCTGATTTAGCAAAATTTTCCTTTGCACAAGACCAGGCAGACTTCTTCCAACATGCTCTGAAAAAGAACTAACTTTAAGGGAGAAAAAGACTATTGACGGAAAAATGCAGTGGTGTCCAAGCGAGGCCGCGCAGTTCATCGCTTCCGGTGACTTGTTTCTGCTTGTAACATAAAAACATTATATTTCAATTTTTTACAGATTCAAAGTACTATGAAAATCTTTTATCGATGGCTGCAAGCCTGCTAAAGAAAAAGCTGCTCAAACAATCTTCCAGAAAACGTAGGCTGAATGCATTCCTTCATTCAACGACAAGTTTTGTTGCCCACTCCTCGAGACAAGTTTTTCGAACCGGGGCGCGGCCAACGTGAACGAAAGCTTGTGCCAGCCATGTGCGTTGCGTAGATCAAATATATTTCAAATTTTACATTTACGCTATGACGACATTTAAGAATTTGGGAAAAAAACGCTAGGAGCTCGGTATGCCCTAATTCTTACGGTTCGACACCATTTTCAATCCATTGAAGAACGCTTCGCTTTGAAAAATTACACTTCATGCGCGGCAACTGACAACCGCAGGAGTACAGTATGCTTACTTCCAGCTATCGTTCATCTTGGCATACACCCCCTTACGCCAACTCCCAGCTTTGTAGCCCAAGATTCTCTAAAAATCAGTAAAATCGATAAAATAGATTGTTGTTCATAATCAGAGTCTCTACTTACCTCACTATAGCAACTCCCAGCCTCGTAGCTCAAAGTTTTTCAATAATCGATAAAATAGATCGTTATTCATAATCACCACCCTCACTTACCCCCTTGAACCAACTCCCAGCCCCGTAGCTCAAACTTTGCAAAAATCTATATAATCGATGAAAGTAGTGGGTATTTCCAGAAACTAATTGCATTCGTAATCAGCATACTCACTTACTCTCTCTCCCCCCTCCTCCCTTTCCCATACTCTTCTACACATGGTTTGAAAGAAATTGATGTACACAAGGATATCATTCGTATAAAAATCTATTCGAAACCCCGTTTCTCGATTATTCGAGTCTTCAAAATTTATTCAAAACCCAGTTCGAATATTCGGTTTTCGAATTTCATTCGAAACCCCGTTTTTATTATATGAAGTCTTGTTCTTCCATTTTCAAATTTTATACGAAAATGGAAAACTTCGATTATCGAATTTTGAATGCGAATCTCTTCGAATGTTATTAGGTTGTTACATAAGACTTGTTACACCTAACTTCTACGGCGATAAGTCATACACCTCATAGTCTTTGTAGAGTTCCAAGGTACCATTCGATAGAGCAAAGCAAGCTCTACAAGAAGGTCTTCAAAGTTCGCACCAGCTCCGACCCACCGTAAGTTTGCATCCAAAATCTGAGTAGTTCTGAAGACTCAAAAATCGCGAAAAATTCATATCTTTGTTCAGAAAAATCCTACGAACCTCCAACTTGCTCATAAAAATTGTCCACTATATCAAACACTCACATGTACCGTTGCTGTATTTTTTCCTTATCTAGAAATCGAAAAAAGGAAATTTTTTTAGTTTTTACGAAAACGAAGCTATGCTGTTTCTATTCATGCAGCTGTATACTACAAGCCCTTAGAAGTATAACCGTAAATTTTCACCTCCCCAGAAGCTCTAGTTTGCGGAAATTACCTAATTTAGCATTGAACACCCGAGTGGAAGAAGCTGAATTTGGTGTTTTTGAAAACTAGGGCTTCTGGAAAGCTGAAAATTTACGGTTATACTTGTAAGGGTATTTACAGCTACATGAATAGAAACAGCGTAGCTTCATTTTTGTAAAAACTAAAAAATTTTCCTTTTCTCGATTTCTAGATAAGGAAAAATTACAGCAACGGTACATATGAGTGTTTGATATAGTGGGCAATTTTTGTGGGCAAGTTGGAGATCCGTAGGATTTGTTTGAACAAAGATATAAATTTTTCGCGATTTTTTGAATTTCAGTACGACTCAGATTTTGGGTGCAAACTTATGGTGGGTCGGAGCTGGTGCGAACTTTTGCAGACCGTCTTGTAGAGCTTGCTTTGCTCTATCGAATGGTACCTTGGAGCCCTGTAAAGACTATGAGGTGTATGACTTGTCGCCCTTACAAGTTAAGTGCAACAATACTTATGTAACAACCTGATATATTCGAATGATCGAACTGTGTTTGATTCGAACTCAAGCATACCATGTATATCGGACCCTCAAAAGCTATCGATTCAACTGGAATCACCAAATCTAATGCCTTTTCCTCAACAGCGGATACAGATACCCTGTCAAACCTCACATCGCAGGTTTGCCCTAACTGATGGGCTTACAGTGGGTATAGGAGAATTAAATGAGATTTCCTGAACTTATGTAGCATGCTAGGACGGCTACTCAACACGCTTATCAAGACTGTATCAAAACTGCGGCGAGAATTTGGACCAAAGAGATTTTTCCACCATACAACAGTAAAACATCCTGAGAGTCGTTGTCGCGCAAATAATTTCAAAATCTTATCCAGCTTGCCCACCCTGAACAAAATTGGAAAATCAGAAATTTCACCACTCTTGATACGAGGTTGACTACAATGACGAGATCGTTGACTTTGCCCAACATAATATCGACTTTTCACAAAATCTGTTAATGGGATAACGCCAGCAAATTGTACTCACTGCACAAATAGTGTTAGCAACTAGGTTAGAACATAAGTGTTGCACCAAAAATTCCATAAAACTCATTAAAAAAAGTTCAGGCAAATTACAATCTGTGAAATATGTTTCATGCCATACACAATATGTAGTGTTTTATCTTGCATATTAGAAATTCCAGTCTGGACAGAATCAAAACTCGAAAATAGATTTGGAAATTATGTTTCGTGGGAAAATCCATTTAGCGTAAATTTATCTCAGTGAATAAGAGTAGGTCAGGACTTAAACTAAATTTGAGACCAACGGTTGCTAATCCAGCAATTTTAACACCGAAGAGCAAAAACATAAAATTTGAGAATCTGCATTTGTTAGCCATTATTATCGTTAGAGAAACCTTTTTTTTTTCTAAGCACTAACAGAGATCACGTGATTCTCTTTCTCTAGCGCATATCAGATCAAACGGTCATCGCATTTGGAGCAACTTATCTATATGAAACAAAGGAAGTTATTATATCTAAGTACTACTTGAGCTTGAGCTCTATTTTTCATAAATTTTAGTGCAAGACTCATGCTTCAACCATATATTTTCCAATCTCCATTTCACTCCTTCTCCCGCGATCAGATGGTATTACAATTTTCCTGTCCACTCTTGCGAAGACTCTCGTAATTTAGGCCAATTAGGCCTTTGTGGCATGTTAACGCTACAACCTCTCAATGTGTAGAACCAGTTGGTCTGTAAGGAAAAACGCTCTCTAATCCCATTTATGAATCGAGTAGAGGAAGCCTGGTTCAAGGAGTGGCGAAACACTGGCAAATCAAAAGAAAGTCTGCATGAGAAAACCACCACAAAAGATGATCACATTAGTGAACACCAGCATTTTGCAAGGGACCGTAACAGATAACCAAGAGTGTTTCCCGCGCGTTACAGGGGCAAACGAGTATTCATAGTGCACCGAGCTGCACTCTCCCTAATAACACATTCCGTAGTAAACATGCCTTGAAGTCGGTATAGAGCCAGTGATGGATCATGGTCAAGCACACGAACGGCATCCGTCAGACGTTCAGCTACTGAATACAAACGATTACTGAAGGACAAGACATTGCAATGGATGCTTTAGCACGTTGGCGACGAGCAATTTTTCGAAGGTTTGTCCCTGTGGACGAACCGTTTCCGGGCATTTTCACAGCCAGCTGCACATATATATGCATGCATCTATGCGTGAGATACACAAATGCAAGTGGACGGGGCAGCTTCGCCCACTTTTGGCAAGCCCCGCCCACTTCTCAAAAATTCTGGAAATTGCTCAAAATCAATAAATCTGTGCAAATTCCGGCATTTTTGAAAAGTGGGCGGAGCTTGCCACTGAGGGGGTGAAGCCTGCATTACGAAGGGCGGGGTCAAAATTAAGATTATTTGAGGTTCCCCTGTCATCTATGAGCTTTTCTATGCGATTTGAGAACGAAGAAAGTTTTTTGAAGAGGGCAATGGAGTGGGCGCAGTTTGCCAAAAAGGAGGGGGGGGGGGCAAAATGAAATACTTTCCAGCCTAACTTGATTATATGAACACAAATTGGAACCATTGTGCACATTAAAACTGATGTTTAGGTTTTCGTCAACGTGTTAGTACTGAAGGACAGCTACGAAACTCACAAAGTCGGCACCTGCTGTCCATTTCCTTTGACTTTGCCTGGTTTTGTAAAGACATCCCCACTTCCAATTTCAGCTTGCGAAGTGTACCGTTGCCAACTGGCTTGAGAAGCATACTTTAGAAGACACGCCTTCATTTAATTATTCATAAAAAAATTTAGGTGGCCCTACCACATTCGTTAAGTCAATAACGAGCGCAAACTTTTATATAGTAATAAATAAAGCAAACAACAATGACTAACAAATTATGTGCAAAACTCAGGATCCTATTTTACATGATGACACGCAACAAATATCACTTCTGACTTGTTGCTTCTTCACTTCTACTCTCGGATGTTTGTTGGATAATCTCCGCGTTTTGCGCGGCCTTCTTTTCCCACTTCAACCTATTGTCAAAGAACGTGAGCTTCTCAGTTTCATGTTCCAAATTTGCTAACTCTTTCGCAACCTCTTCAGCACGGATCTGGAAGTATGTCCTAGTCACAGATTCAAAAAACACCCACGAAGGTAAGCAGTCACCTTTAATAGTAGACGATCGGCTTGTGCTGATATGAGGTCTTGTCGTCGTTTATGCCAGCTACGAAATTCTTCTGCTTGTTTCTTAGCGAGCGTTTCTTCCTCTTTTTCGAGAATCTAGTGAATGAAATTCTATAGCCGAAGAAAAAAACGACAAGTTTCTAACTTTTTCAAGAATTGCGTGCACTGCGGAACTTAGAGTCTCTTCAGAAGCAGCACATCCACTCAGTTTTTCAAGGATCTGTTCTTGCATCTCTGTTCGTTCTTCCCCTTCTTTTGGAGTAAACAATTGTCGCACTACTCCAGCAGCACCGCTATGTATAGATGCCGAGGCTAACGAAGAAGCGAGATCAAATCTGCAACAGGGTTTCGCAAAACTCAATGATGATTTACCGGCTCTTCATGTGACAAAATGAACCTATATAAAGGGAATAGACAATCTGCCAGGCCTTGAAAAGCAGCTTAAGAGTTTTTGTATTTCTGGGCTAAATTTGTGAGATTCTGCCTCTATCGCCTAATAAAATGCAGAGTGCGCTTTCTTATCACTTTCCAACCATAAGCATGAGAAAAATGGAGCTTCAATTGCTAATCAACTGTGCGAAAACGATTGAAGGGCATGCTCGCGAAAGAGGCGCAGAGTCCAGGTGAGGCGGCCACGCGAGAGTGGAGATGATGGTGCACGCGACTCTGCAATTGATAAACCCCGTAGAGCTTCCCACCGCTGTAAAAAAAAATGTCATGACACGTTGATGATGAGTGCTTTTTTCCATGTCTGTCTCTGTCAACGACACTCCCCTGCATTTCTACACCTGGCTGCATGTATGTTTCGCTCCTAGATTCGTGTAAAGGCCGTTTGCGGACTTCTTCTTCTTCTGACAGTTCTCCACGCTATGAAATCACAGCCATTACGCCCTGAGTTGGCACGACTCCATCGCCACGCGACTGGAAGCCGGTGAGATAGGTACGCATGCATCTATACATGCGTTTCGAACGGGGCAGCTCCGCCCAATCGTTGCGAGCTCCGCCCACCCGGAAACAAGTGCGGATTCGAGTTCTGGAAATTCTTTGAGGCCCGTATGCATCAACATCCCTGCGGCAAGAGGACGGCGTCCACAATGATGAAAAAGCCGCAGCGGCGTTCGCGCACGGCCACTTCATAACAGGGGATCCCACTCGTCTCACCGCAGGGATGTTAGTGCATACGGGCCTAAATTTTGAACAGTAGGTGGTGCTTGCCGCCAAAAGGTAGAGCCTGCGTAAATACTCCTAAGCCAAATGTTCATACGCAACAATTTAGAACGGATTGGGCATATTGGAATTGAAATTTAGTTCCCACACACCATTGCACCCCACTTTCGTCAACATGTCAAGTTGTGTGAAGTATTAATGGAGCTTCTCCAACACTGTCGTAGTGGATAACCTGTTGAAAAAATGGACTTGATAAGAAAGTAATCTCACAAAACACCAAAAACGGCAGCATTTATGTCAACTATCGTAAGCTGTAAATGCATGTTACTCAAGGTATACTACATGGAAGAAGGACGAAAACTAAACGAACATTGCCTCAGTGAAATGTGGCCATATCAAGTCAGGCTGTCGAAAGTCTTGCTACCTTTAGAACGACCAAGATTGAGGAGGAGTATATCGCCTGACCAGTGGCGTACCGAGGGGGGGGGGGGGGGCGGGGGAGGGGGGGAGCGCCCCCCCCCCCGAGAATGGGTCGCCAAATTTTTGAAAGTTACTAATATGGGTTACAAAAATGTGCAAGTGACTTGTTTATACTTGTAAATAATTAAAATAATTTTTAAAAATTTCTAAAAATTCAAATTAGCTTTGTGAAAAAAAAATTTTTTCGGGGACGTGGCTGACGCCACGCCCCCTTTTTCCAAATTTTAAAGGTTGGGGACCCGCAAAAATTTTGAAAAGCACCCCTAAAATTTTTTCGGAGTGCGTGGCTAACGCCACGCACCATCATTTGAAAAAAATTTTTGTCGCCCCCCCCCCCCTGGGTACGCCACTGCGCCTGACAAACTTAGAGACCAGTAAAAGGCGGAGTGTATCGCTTCACAAACTTTGAGATCACTGAGTTCGGTTGCTTTGTAAATTATCTATTTTGCAACGTACCTCTGGTAAAGCACCGCTCCGAGAAACCTGAGTGACTCCCGTAGTGGATCTGGTAGGCATTTTGAATCCCGGGCTACCCAAAGTAATGTTTTACCAGCCAATTGGTGCGGATCAGTGAGATCGAAATGTGAGTCGAAATAAGCGTTCTTGAGGTAAGGAAATTTGAATGTTTTCTGGAATAAAAGCTGATTGAAAGAGAAATACGTTTGAATGGTATGCACTATGTTATGCTCATCTATCAAAAACTTCAGTGCCTTACGAATTTACACAACATACCACGTCATCGTCATTGACATCTTCTTCTTCAGTCGTCTCAAATGGCATGATTTGTTTTTCTGGGGGCAATTCTGCCCATTTTGCGCAAGAATATAAAGCTGAAAGAGAACGCACAATAAGACTGCAGAATAAAGTACATCGTCTTCCTACCGAGGAGATTTAAAAGCTCATTTTCAGTCATCTCTTGCTGCATCACCCAGGCAGAAAGCCGTGCAGCGCCTGCAGGCATTTACTGAATATGAAGTACTATATCAAAAAGTAAAGCTAAGCACCTCCAAAGTCTTCCGCGTTGATAAAATGGTCGATGGCAAGGCAAGCCGCATGTTCATTCATAAATACCCCGTAGTTGATCTGGAAAAATCATATCTACTACATACGTTTCGAACAGTTCAAGGCATTCCCAGAGCAAAACTTACCGGATCATTTGCCAGCTTGAACAGAAATGAAGGATCATATCGTAGGAGCAGTCGCACCAGGGCGTACTCGGCAGAAGGAGGCAAGTCAGCAGCATTTTCACTGTGCCGCAATTTGTAAATCAAATCTATGACGTCGTCCACCTGAACAGCAATTCGTGATTAAGCCTCACATGTAACCTGAGAGGAAGGACAGCGGTATATACCAACAAAATTCATTTGACAAAGACCAAAAACTAGAGGGTGGTAAATCTTTTTCGACGAATACTCACTTCGACATCAACATTGTCCGAATTTGAAAGTTATCGAGTTTAAAGATTCTAGAATAAGATATCGAAGGTAATGATCGTATATCCTTTACTACATTGCAACCAGCTTATATCAACCGGATTTTTAGTGATCACCCAAATCGGACAAAATTTGACCTTGCGCTGTGTCAAAGTCGACGTGAACAGATTTTGAAGATAGTTTCCTGCTTATATAACTTATTCGAATTCTTGAAGGTAGTGGATCGCAAAAATGGACCGATCTCGGATTTTGGTGGTGTTGCAAGCAGACCCCCCAATACACTATGGCCCCAACCCCACCTGCCTCCACCGGTGGAGTTTTAGAGCGCATTTTCCAGGACTTAGCGCATGTACCTGAGGGGTCTACTATGTAACACCACCAAAATCCGAGACAGGTCCTTCTTGCCAATCCACTGTCTTCGCCAAAATCCCTAGAGTTTTGATTAACGAAGTAAATGCACAAAAAAATGCTTGAAAAACTCATTCGTATGCAATAGAGTATTTTTGTACCAATGGATTCACCTAAAGGAAATAGCTTTTCAAAAAGGACATGCACTTATATACATCTCTTTGGACAGAAGCGAAACAAATCTAACCTGATCTTTTTGTTCCGCTATGCAGACTGCCGCGTCAACGTCGATGGCACTTAATATATATTCCGAATTTTGGAATAAATAATGATACTACTTCTATAAATATCAACTTTGGGGGGAACAATGAATAGGGAATTCACCTAGCAGCACTTCCACCCACAAACTTCTTCTGCACAGCGCCAATCCACTCATAATCGCCGCCAAGTCCTAACTTTGTCAATTCAGAATGCCTAGATGACCATTCCTATAAAATGTGACTAGCACAGACGACTGGACAAAAGACAGATTACCAACATTTTCAAGAGCAAAAGCTTTAGACAGCAAAAATCGCCGTCCAAAATTCCTCGACATTCGATAGACTAACGCAGCAGGTCTTGGAGACCACATCCCTACAGTCGATATTGGATTAGTATATCGTTAAAATGTTCAAACATCATGGACTATCCTTCACAGTATCCATGCTGCTATGTTTTGAGAATTTATTGCCAGTATGTACAAATCCACAACAATAAGATACATGAAACATATATCAACAGTAGTGACTAAAGGTAAATCAATCCTCAGGTACCCTTCATCCACACTCGTAAATAAGAACAGAAAAAAATGACTACACAGCTATCTCATTTCTCATACAAAACAGTTCGAATCAGCTTGCGCGTTTGTAGTCGGTAACATCCATCACCACATTTCTTGTATGAGAATCTGATAGTAATAAAGATACACTCAAAATACTAGAAAAAATAATAACGCATATTCTGTTATTCGATCCTCGGTACACAAGTCAAAATCAGAGAATCAAACACACCTACTGAAACCCTCAGGTATTGGACAATCATGCTTTCTTGAAAGGTGTCGCGTTAAGCCATGGCCAGTAACATATGTAGAATCGCATATATGGCAAAGGTACGGTCGTTTTGAACTGTTCTAAAAGCTGCGATGGACAGTAAAGAAGAACTGAAGAAGGAACTGAAGAGACAAGAACAACAAAATTTTACCTCTGAATGAGATAACAGATGTTTATCCAGTTGTTTCTTCCACCGAAATCGCTCACCGCATACGTGACATAATTCATTTGGAGGAGCATGGAGCTTGCCATGACGATTCAAATCACTCTGAACAATAATAAAAAGTGCTTATAGTGGCTAGTTGATGGAGCAACTTACCAAGCAATAAAAGTTTTTGTGACACTCCTCACAAATGAATGATTTCGAACGTTCCGTGTGCTTTACAAGTATGTGTCTAATGGAAGCGTGTGAGATACAAATACGCAAGTTGAAAGCAAAAAAAAAACCTGTGTAAATCTGAGGGCAGCGGAACAGCCAGCCCACAAGTTGGGCACTGACGCCCATTGATATGACGACGAACATGATTAACTAGCGAACGTTCATCCCCAAACCGTCGTTGGCATAAAAGGCATAACTGGAAAAAAAGACATTAGATTGATTCGCAATCCTTGGAAGAATCTGCTTTTATGGAACACACCGAAAAGGAGAAAGTGACAAAAAATTAGGGCAGACGACCTTACGCACATGCGATTCTTCATCGTTATTTGGAATGGGGATACGCTTACGCAAGTGTTCGTACAGTTTATCCGGCCTCGCAAAGAACCGCCCACAAAAAGGACAGGCGCAATACTTCTCTCCACTGTGATGTCGCGCATGTTTTCTGAACTCAAGATAAGTTAGGTTGTGTGAGCAGGTAATAGTACCGAAGCAAAAGTTTCGAGATTTCTAACTGATGAAGAGTTGGAAGATTAGAGAGTCTGTGTTACATAGAAGCGGTTCCAACATCAGCAGCTACCAATCCCCCTCCCCTCCCGCCCCCCGCCCCCCCCCTCCCTTTCACCTAGCGCTAAGGTAGGTGCCAGAGTAAGCGAATATTTTGTTCAGCTTCGTTCAGCCGCAAAAGGCGCACAGAGTTAACGTTGATTCTGCGCGGGACCTGCAGCCGAAGCAGGCCTTGGCAGCAGCCATTAATTCTGCGCGCCTTTTACAGAACGAAGCTAAACAATATTCGCTTACTCTGGCACCTACAGTCGAGTAGATTTCCCGCTTAATATAGTGTGTTTGCACAATTTATGAGATGCGGTAAAACTTGCGTGAACAGGTATGTCCCCTCCACAGATCGTGCTACCCTTGTGGCGTCGCGGACGTGCCGCGTGTGACTAGCACATTGGTAACGTTGGCAGCAACACGTTGGCAACATGCAGCAACATGTTGACGTGGCCAAAATGTTCTGCCAACATGATGGGGCATGTTGCAAACATGTTGTTGCCACGTTGCCAACATGTTAGCCACACGTGGCAGGTCTGAGACGCAGACCAAGGGTAATAGCACGATCTGTGGAGGGGACGATAGCTGGCCACCACTGCCGGCATTTTGCGCGCGCAATTGGCCGGCATCATAGTCGAAGCTAATTTTTAACGCGCAAATTTTACCGCATTTCATAAACTGTGCAAGCACACTATATTAAGCAGAAAATCTACTCGACGGTACTATTCCAGTATACCGACCCCAAAAATTAAAAATCTCGGATTTCGCTCAAACTCGGTATAGGGGGGTTATTCGATCCGCTGATGCCGAATATCATATCGATTCCGTGCGACCGCGCCATTTTCCGGGGGTTACGGTGGGTATACGGTAGGAGGTCAAAATCACAAAATTCTCTGAAACTTGGTGCAGGAGGGTTATCTGACATGCTGAACACGAATATGATATCCATTCGTTACGGTAGCTCCTCATTCCGGGGTTATGGTGGGTATACTGTAGGAGGGTCCAATTCACTGCTTTCCACACCCACGCCGCGCGCGATACACCCTACGGCGGCTTTTGCCTAAGCAAAGTGAGGGGAGGAAATTTCCGACGTGTGATTGAGATTCAGGCCCTGAATCTCGATCTAGCGGTGGTATTGGTAATGTATACCCAACGTAACGTCGGAGTGAGGCACTTTCGTAACTTATAAACATCATAATAGTGATCAGCATGTCAAATAACCCCCCCCCCTACACGAAGTTTCAGCGGATATCGTGATTTTGACCCCTTACCGTATACCCACCATAACTCCGGAATGAGGAGCTACCGTAACGAATGAATATCGTATTCGTGTTCAGCATGTCGGACAACCCCCTCTCACCGAGTTTCAGAGAATTTTGTGATTTTGACCCCCTACCGTATACCCACCGTAACCCCCGGAAAATGGCGCTATAGCACGGAATCGATATGATATTTGGCATCAGCGGATCGAATAACCCCCCTATACCGAGTTTGAGCGAAATCCGAGATTTTTAATTTTTGGGGTCGGTATACTGGAATAGCGCCACATTTAACTTCAGAACAAATTAGTTCATGCTCCAAATATCCCTTTCTCGTCTGATAAAAGGCGATTCTGCTGAAAAGTTCATCATTTGCTACCTCACAACGTCGCAAAGTTGTTTTTTTTTGTATATGGAGACAAGTGGTACAATTCTTCTTCAATCTTCTGATTCCTTTTTTGATCTACAATTTCTGTGGCGGTTCGATGTGTTAATAAGTACTGCTTTCACACATGATGAAACTAGTTTTTTGGTCCATTTGCGTTTCGTATACTTTTTCCAAGCTTTCTTGCTCGAAAATATAAGTGCAAGCATCGTCAAAGATAAAAAGCGAGACTGAAACTAGGCCCCTTGGCGAAAGACACCATTTTTTTCTGCAATAAGTTTGTTGGACTCTCAAACAGTCATCGCCTTGCAAAAAGCTTTGAAGACCAAACTTGTAATCTGGAGTCTATTTTGAATTATTGAGCATGACTCCGCAAAAGGCTTTAGATTATCAATCATATTGACCGAATGGACAAAGGGAAGTCTTGAACAACCTCAAATCTCCTTTAGATTCGAAATGCCGATAACAGTTCTCCCATGAGCATTTGAACAATGCTGGTGATCTAGGATCATCCTCGCGAACTCTGTCGTCGCTTTTGAGAAAATCAATGTGCATCATAACGTGAGTAAAGAGATCAAGAGGGTCGGAGAAATCATGCTAGAAAGAAATATGTACTGGTGACGATTGGGTAGCTAACATTTTTACCTACATGACATTTGTCCCAAAGGCAGTAGGTGACTTCGCCCGAATAGGTGATGTCGAGAGACGGTGGAAAACCGCACCTAAAAACTTATATTAAGATCGAACCCATAGTCTAGTTCTAGCCTTGAACCGATCAAATAAAAAATCTGAAAATGAGTTGCAAGCTTTCCGCCCATCCCCTATGCGCCCTCTGCGCACCACAGCAGCTCTCCAAAATGTCCCGCTTAAAACTTTTCTGGACGAACTGGTGGAAGGAGATTGGAATGCAATGCAGTTCTTTGGAATGATTTTAGCTCCTCCTTTAGGCCTAAGGCATGCCTCACGCGATTTGGCCAAATCGCCACTTTCACGCGACTTGGCGATTTGCCAGATTTCTACAAATTTATCGTGCGCGCTTCTCGAATGCATAGGCGGATAGCTTGTGTAAGTTGTTGCAAATGGGTTAAGTTCTGACCAAAGAAAACGCGTTAACGACGAGTTACAGTGAGTCGCTGTTGTCCAAATCGCGCAGCGACAGGAATCGCGCGAGGTATGCCTTAGGGCTTAGTACACAGCCAAAGACTTCATCATTCCGGCATAATTTATCACAGATTTGATTCAAAAAAAAAACAACATTAAATCAATAGTCAATAATTAACCTCTCAACGTCTGCGAACTCGTTCTTCGCCGCAATAAGCAAGAATCCCACATACTGAGCATGAGCATGGAATTGGTGCATGGCTAGATGCCTTCGTAGATCCAATGCTGAGTCAGCCGACTGATTACAGCTGTTAATCGGACACTGCCATATCTCGCCCCCTGAAATTCACATTTTTTTTCAAAGGAGTAGCTCCTAAAGATATATTACTCAGAGGAACTTAGCATACAAAAACAACATGCCAGTGAAGTCGGTGACGTATTGATTGAGATGCACATCAAAATGTGCAGCTAATTCGTCCTTCCCTTCCATTCGATGTAGACAATGACCCCACATGCAGATAAATTGCACTAAACGTTGAAAAAATATCGGGGTCATGAAAGAAGCACCATAAAAAACGGCCTTCTGTTTCACATGATCATGACTGTGAAGCTCTAAAACTGACCTTTCTCGGGATTCTCAACATCCCGAGCTACCCACGATGTAAAAACATCTGTGATAGACTCGGTTTCCCCCAAAAACGTCACGGAGGTACAAGTAGACGGTGGTTCCATGACAACTACGGAATTTATTTTAGAGCCACTAAATACTACTACATGACAATCGGCCGACCTTTGCTCTGTGGATGAGGACTACAAACAGCCTCAACCTAAATCACATGGTTAAAAGCGCAATTTCAATCTCCATTCGACCCATATACTTGGAAAAACCAACAAACAAGCCACTAGATTTTGGAATTCAAACTTTATTTGCTACAACAACAGTGACAGCCGAATTTACACACGAAAGCTTGAAAGATTGATCACGAGAACATGGACGAAGAAACCACCACAGTGAAACCTGAGCAACAGACATAAAACACATCTAGGTCGAAAGATCAAGTTGATATCAGGAAATTACACTTAGTCAAACCATCACAAAACCCTCGATTGGGTGGTTGAACTCAGGTACGAGTGAGAACGACTTGTTACTATTTTTATATGTGGGCTAATAAACTCTTGAAGATCTCGCACGCCCATCACAACTGGGGCAGTCTTACAATTCATGAGAGGCAGATGCAAAGGTAGAAATTCAAGATAATGAGTCTGCCAAAGCTAGGGTAAATAAATAATGGTCGCTAAGACAAGTAAATGTGATAAGCTCATAATTCAATACTGTATAGGACGACGAGGTTTTCTGATGCGTCCACGAGAGCTCACCTCGGGAACATCAGGCGCTGAATCTTCGTCGCTTTCCGCATAGCTGATGGCAGTCGTGTTCCGGCGAGAGCTGCGACTGCGTCGCGGTGACAACTCCTGCTCGCTTTCACTTTCAATTCGACGACGTTTGGCCATATTTGCAGAACGTGTTGAGTATCGCCCATTAGTAGTCCTGCGAGTAGGCTGAGAGCAAGGTACTGCTTCGGAATCTAAATCTTAACACCGCTTTCAGCACTAGTGTGACTTCGATCGAAACAAAGCAGGCCACGATCGAACAAAACATAGGATTACCTTCACTGCTTCGACGTGCTCTCCTCTTCTGTCTCGTACGGGAATTGCGAACAGCTTCTTCCGAATCATTTTCATCCTGGAAGTGAAGCTTACGAGCTACCTCATACGCATGTTTGACAGACGAACTTTAGTTGTGTTCTAATGCAACCAGATATACCCAAAGCCCGATATGTGCATCTGTGTAAATAATTGCGGTTCAAATGATCCAAATGTATTATAGGCTCCTAGACTCATGTGGAGGCAAAGTCGTGCCAGCTCAAAGCATGGCGGTTTTTGATGAGGGAGTACGAAAAGCAATGCTATGTGTTGTTTCAGACTGCCGCACTACTGCAGCAGACTGCAGCTGACCGCATTGACCGCGGGGCCGCACAGATCGCTACATCCTTTCGTGAAGGTGGAGAGGATAAATAGTTGTAGCTCAAACAGTCTCTTAAAATGTATGTCCCAATAGACAACAAGAGCGGAAGTAAAATAGGTATATGCAATGACAAAAGGAATCTGAACAAATATGAGCATATATTAAAGAAAAACAATCGCCAAAATTCGACTAGAAGAGTAAGTTAGAACCTATGAACTTTCTAATGTAAATCACGGTGTTTTGATGTATTCGCAAATATTTTCTCTTTCACGAAAGGATGCAGCGAGCTGTGCGGCCGTTGCGGTCAGTGCGGTCAGCTGCAGTCTGCTGCAGTCTGCTGCGGTCAGCTGCTGCAGTGCGGCAGTATGAAACAACCCTATAACGTGGGAAGTCGACGAGATTTATCTTATCAGAATAATCCGTGATCCGCCTCCATATGAATGTGGGAGCCGATCTTACAAATAGTCACTGATTTCAGAAACACTCTGGTTTGCAGACTAAGATGGTAGAACTGCAACACTGGGTAAATTACGACTAAAGTTGTATACAAAACCCATCGACTGCACAGACTGGCCGTGCCTGCGGGACCCCGAGCAAAACTTGTATCACGGCGATTTGTTTAGAGCGAGGATTACCGCGGCTCGTTCCGCAGTGACGACCAGTCTTTGCGGTTGATGATTTACCTATAAAATGTGCACACATGAGTTTTTGTGCCTCAACACTAGAAGCAATACTAATTCAACGCATTTTTATTATAATTTATTTTTATAATTAATTATCTAGACTGCTTAAACTTCTAGACATTCCATTTAAAAATGTAATTCGGGCGTGATGAGTGCAACAATAAGAAAGTGAACAAAGTCATGCAGGTTACACCCCATGCTGAACCTCACCTTCCGGTAACCTGTACCAATGGAAGTGGAAGACGACAAAACTCACGTATAAACTATCCTCATCGTTTTCCTCGTTATCCTCTGCTAGCGAATCGACATGTTCATTGTCACTTCTTAGCCTTGACGAAGCAGGAGATGACAGCGTAGGCGCTCTAGTGGGTGATTGGTTGGATCCATGAGACAACTGTGAAATCAGAATCACGTGACAGTGCACCAATTAGAACAACAAACCTCTTGAGCTAACTGTCTCTTCCTCGACGATCTTCTGGTATGTGGACTTGAGATAGACGGGACACTGTCATCGCTTGCTATAGATGCACTATCTAGCAACTGTCTAGAAGAAGAAGGCAAATCCGAGGCTCTACCTGCAACATTTGATGACATTTGGTCGAAACAAGGGCAAGTTGAGTACCCATTCTAGATCGCGGTAAGGGTGAGGCAACAGAAGGAGAGAGCGTTCGCCCCGTATGCTGCCGGCGGTTAGGACTTTCTGTGGGCAGCCTTCCATTCACCAAGTTCCGATAAAATCCGGGCGAACTTCCATTGAGAGGAGCAGACTGTGATGTTGACGGTTGTTGAGGGTCAAAATCAAAACCGTTTCGATCATGGCTAGAAATGTCCATTTAGAACAAAGTGGCCAAAAATATTATTCAGCACTTTAATTTACTATTGTATTGTATTGTACCATCAAAAAGGTAGGTAGCTGTCAAAAGATGGAAATCATAAAACAGTGACCTTCGCGTATTGTATTTGGATTGTGTGCGTTCTCGACGAATTCGTCTCCGTAAACTTCTTCCAGCGGGATCGATCAAACTTTTCCAGATTCGCTCATATTGGCTCACAACACCTTTCATCCGTTCAGCAAACAAACTTCCAAGCGCTAAGCTATCTCGGTAGATCTGAAGATAAACAAAATGTACTGTCCATGAAAAGACGCCAATATTTTTTAGTTCGAAATAACCGTAAAAAATTCAACGATACTGTTCCTATTTGGACATATTTGCGATACCAACAAACCGGCGAACGTTTGTCGTCTATACTGGTCTTGCACGCATGCACCATCTTCTCAACATCGTGAAGCAATGTGGCTGGTTGATCAATATCCCCGCGTTCAAGTGCTTCCATTAACGACTTCAGATCACATGTCTGCTGCAACGCCCCAGCCACGTCCTTAACGTAATCATTTGCTGGATGTATTGGTTTTCACTAACGAACCTCGTTCACGGCCGCATTCGCTTCGAGGAAATGTGATGCACATGGATCGGCCATAACTGAGCGCAGTATGGCTCGACAATCTGTCTTCCAACCTGGTTCCACTGGTGCATCGTTGGCACCACTCTCAGCAAGGTGCTTGAGTATTTCACCGTCTACAGCTGCAATTAAAAAACCAAAATGATTGGACATGGCACTTCAGACATCGCCTATAGGCAGTACCCCGGCAGATTCAAGTCCTGTGGGATAGAGCTGTGGTGAAGTTTCTGGTAACCTCGCTGACCTACAGGCCCAGTGCGGCTGGTTGATGTTACCCCTGCGCCGGGAAAACAGACAGAACAGATTTCGCAGTCGTTGCACCGTTTGCTACAGTACCCCCACCGCGCCCAACAGGGTGTTCGTGGCGGGACCAGTGTACCTGCGAACTTCAAAATAAACCTAATGCAAAGCAGTTCTTGTCCGAGGTGGGCGTACAAGAACTACAAGGACGTCAGGAGATGAGCAGTTTTTTCGCACCTAACACAGGTTGATGTATCATACAGATTCTGAGTCTGTCGGTTTCAAAACCGTGGTCTAAATTGGTATATTCGTAGTTGCTTTGTTTTTTCTCTTACTTTCAGCCCTGGATCATCGTTCTTTCTCTCTTTCAAGGTTTCTACTAGGATAGCGAGCATATCAATGTTTCAATGAAGGCTTCCCAAGACTTATATTCCGGTCACTCTATTATTCTAGTCTGAGTTTTCGCCATCTACATTGCGAATGCTGTTTTTTTTTGTTTCAGTCCCTTCAGTTGTGATAAATGAGTGACTAATGAAACGTAAATATGATTATCCACATTTCTCACCTTCATTCACTTCAGTTCCTCAGAGAAACAGAAATCCTATCATAAGCTCTGACACTGACGATGCCAGCTAGTCAGTGTACTACCTACCGGCTACTACTCAGTGAGTGTAACTTGAATCGATGTGTTATATCTACGATCCAGAGGATCAGCAACACATCATATCAACTCCAAGACCACTTTATGCGATTAGTAAGATTAAAGAAAGTAAAAAAGGACACCAACACCTTTTGTAGTCGCAATACGTTTATACTGTAAGTGCTGCAGACAGCATCGCAGGTTCTTTTTGAAGTTCGTGAGTGCGCGATGGTCCTGCCAGCAAATAGCGGCCTTCGCTTTGCTACGAACGCATACACTTTCTAAAGCTGTTGCGTTAGACTTTACTTTGGCATGAGCTCAGCGTCAATGGATGGGAAGATCTCAGCAATAGTTGAATTGTCTCACTATCTTGAGTTCTCAAAGTTATACATGGTGTAAAATCCAAATTCATGTCGTCACTCTTCCATGGACAAGACAATAGGTAAACTATACTAGGTTATATGGTAAAATGTAGCTTTCAACACCTATCAAGGTGATGTTATGCAGCTCAGCAACTCATCAAGAAGGGCAAAACTCCGAACATCCTTAGTGCGACATTCATTCTTGGCTTTTACCAGCACCAGTTTCCGCAAGATGCTTCAAATAGAAAATAAACAGAATAACAGCTTTTTTTTTGACCGAGAAGTATCACCCACCTAAATAGGTTCTCAGTTTCTATGTATGATATATCGAAACCCTTGACTGACCTAATCCACACTTGATGGGAAAAGACAGTAATTTCCAGTAATCAGTTGAGCTTAGGGCAATTACGGTGAAATGCAAAGTGGGTTTGAAATGCGTATTTTCCCTTCTTCAAAATACTTGAAGTATCGATCCTAGTGCTTTGTCGAGTAAACCACAGGTTCAAATCCTTGGCAATAAGTACGCAAATGCAGTTTAAAATCAAGGACGATGTGACTAACTCGGCTTCGAAGCCAGTGAGTTTAACGCGGTCGCCACGAACAACCTGTTGGGCGCGGTAGGGGTACTGTAGCAAACGGTGCAACGACTGCGAAATCTGTTCTGTGGAAAACAGCCCCCAAACCGGCGCGCGCTCGGACGGCTTCGCTTCCCTGTTCGGCGCGGACCCCACGACCGACTCCTGCATTGTGCATGCTTGCAGTCTTCACATTATGGGCAAAATTCATGAAGACATGTTTTCGTGGGCTCGTACCTCGGCGGTTTTCATATACTGTAGCCTACGACATGCATCACCCGATGGCACAGTTCCCACAAACTTCAACCTGTAATAGCAAGCAGGCAAGTTCTCTGAAAGATACGCAAGAAGTGCAGGCAAAGTCACAAACTTTCGTGACTCGATTACAGTTATCTCACCCATCTCTGCAAAAGACCCTGTAGTCCTCAAAGACCATGATTTTCGTGTACAGCGCGTCCGCAAACCTCTATAAACGAAGTTGATTACAATCCAAGATAATCATTTTGACCAAAATCTATCGGTGAGCTCAGAGTATAAAATGAGAAAAATTGAGATAACCCAAACATCTCGCAAAATTTGCTCGTAGAAGTTATCCCACCTGCTGATACTACAAAAATCACATCTGCTTAACAAGAGAGCTTCATATTTTAGGGTTATGGTAAGTGAAGTTCAAAAAGGCGTGGTTTTTCCAGAATTCACCAGCCCTCCCTTCTATCTCCTTCGGAAAGAAAACTGCGACTACTTTTTAGCGCTCCGTAATCTCCAGAAGAGATACTATCGAACGTTCCCTTGCTGAACCTACTAGGTGCAATGCGCGCTGCTTTACACCTTTGCGAGGAGACTTCTGCAGAAAAATTCAACAATGCTGAGATCGCAATATCAAGGATATGCTGTTCATCGAAAGATCGTCTTAGGGTGCCTCCTTCATACCCTCCGGCAGCCGCCGCTGGCAGCCCGTAGCAGCCCGTAGCCGCCGCTGGCCGCTTTTGTCATAGAAGCGCAAAATTATCGAATTCTTACTATTTTAAGTGCAAACGCCCACGCTTTCCATCTTCCACGCTATATCCTTCCTGTTGTCGCATTTCGATCTCATACATCATAATTGTGTCCATTGTTGTTGAAATCTTGTTGCCGTAGATGGTATCCTATTGGTGCTCAGTTTCCCTCTCGCAGTTGAACCATATTTCACCGAAGTTTCGCCGCGGTGTAATTTCTTCTGCCTCCGGTTTCTGCAGGTATGCTATTAGTTTATTTTTTGAGTATGGCTCTGCTTCAATCATATCCTTGGCCAGTGCTCTTGAATAACTCTGTAATGTGTGAATGTGGAACTGCACATTAGCGGCAAGAGGAAGAAAGAAGCGTGGAAGTTGGAAAGTGAGGGCGCTGCGTTACATCTGCGAAAGGACCTCCGCAGAAGAACTGGAAAAACTGGAAACGGAATATCGAGGATATGTGCACAACAAAAGATTCGCCTTGACGAGCTGAACATAATGCCGCTTCCGGATTCATAATATATTGATTCTGAAGGAATATGGCGCTGCATAATTTGCGTGATCCGCGTGATTCCGCGAATTCCCGAAATTCCGCAACATTCACGGAAATTATGCACATTCTGCAAATGCCCCTTCTCCTGTTCTAAAAAACGCTTTTCTTGTAGTTCAAAGGGTCACAGCATCCTCGATCCGTCACTGTCATCATGATACAACGGTTGCAAAAATCGCGAATCTTTCTTTGTGTTTTCATGATATGGATTTTGAGCGTTTCAACCCCATTTCTTTTCACAACTACTGCTTCCTCTTCTTTTCTTGATTACTGTTCCTCTTCTGATGAGAAATCCGAACTTGAGAAAATGTACACAAATGGAAGCAGCATCAATTTGTATGGCAGTTTTCAGCTGATGTGCAAATGATACGCGCTCATTCTAGTATCCTTTCCAAGTTTGTAACTTTTTCAATCAAAAAAGCAAGCGAGACACAAATGAGGTGAAAAAGGCAGATTTCACTGAGACCGTTGAACAAAGTCAAAAATCCTTATTTCGCGCCGCTCAAAACCGCATGCGGGCGGCTGCAGCGCATGCAGCACAGTACCGGCACAGTCCATTCCGGAACTTCAGGAACAGTGGAGCCCAGCCTTACGTTGCTTGCGTTCTAGACGTTTTGTCGCTTAACTTTTGCTCTCCTGCAGAAATTACAGGCAGGATTTTCGTGCGAGAACCTTCCGACTCCCGTCAGAGCTTGCTTTTGGAATTGAGTGAACGCCCCGACAATGGTATACCCGGTTAAAACCTCAAATTTGGGTTCCTCGTGTCAAAAAGGCATGAAACATACAGAAAGGTAAAAACTGAAAATCTGCCGGGACACTCCTTATATCACTGTAATCCAGATATTAACACTATGAAAACGAAAGCCTGAATATCGTTATAGTCTGTGAAACCTTTGACTGTCGGCTGGAAGCATCGATTAGCCAACAAGGAAACTATCTTTCAATCAACTCACCAATTTTAGGCAATAACCTTTTGGTGTACTCTACTATCTGTTCGGATGGAAGATCGAACAAGCTGTCGTATAGATTGACAATGTCATCCATTAGCGGATCACTGAAATGACCACTAAATGATATTTTAACGCAATACTAAAGGCAGGGTTATCAAAGATAGATATCTGCGTTTCGTATTTACTATTGGGATGTCTCAAGTAAGCCTCTGCTCAGCGACAGTTCATTTGATGACTAATGCGTGCCCAACTTCTCTATACACCATACCTTAACTTGAGGGCGCCCAATGGTCGACTCGGAAAGACTATGGGCTTGGCTAGTTAAGAATTGCATTTCTCGGCCATCAAACTCTTACGACCGCCGCTTGGACAACGGCTTGGCTGAAGCGTCCCGTCACAACTCAAATAAAGCTAACGTACTCAAACTCTAGGCATTGTCTTCAATACATCCATCCCAGGCAAAAGAGGTGCTTCTGCCGTAATGAGGCGCGCAACCGTTTTTCCAAACCTCACTACATTATCCAAAACGAGAAAACTCTCAAAAGAGAATAAGGTAGTAACTCCGGCCATTAATGTGGATACGGGACGCTAAGCCCGAAACTGGGGTTCCAAAGTATAGTATAGGCCGTCCGCGCAGGACGCGGAGAGTGCGCAAGGTGTGTATTGCGCGTCACTCCTCTTCATTTGTGCTCTCTCGCTTCCTGTTTTCTCTGCGCTTCCTCCAGTCATGAACTGCCTCGAATGGACGCAACAGCGTTGCTCTCCGAGCACAGCGCGGACGGCCTATACACTCGCTGACCGCACGGACTGGACATCACTATGGAGCAAGCGCCGCGAGGTAAAACGCCTGCGCCAGTACAATTCCACCATTGTACAAATCGTGCAACATTTTAGCCGCGCCTCTCGTGATCCGCAATGTTTGAGCAGTTCGTGCGGTCAACGAATTAACGATACTTAATTACGAGAACAGGCCATCATCAGGCACTCTAAAGCCAACTGCAAACTCAGCATTCCTGAGCCATCCGTTCCAATGGTTTAAGCGATCAATGTCATAGACCGTAAAGTAATCTCTTGCCTCGGAATAATATTCTGCGACGGAATTTGATCAGGTGCGCGAATGGGAAGCTTACTACAATATCGCTGGGATCAACACTCAATTTTTGCCTTGACGTGCCTTGGATAAATTTTTGAGGGCATAGTTAAGATGCTTCGATTAGACACTGAACATTCACTCACCGAGAAAAACGTATTAGTGCCTCCACTACGATGCGAGAGTTGCGTACTATGGCGCTAGATGGTTCATTGAACTGCTCTGCTGCTACAGCAAGCTGACGAACATCTTGGTGAAACGCAGTAAGTCTCCTAAACAACTTTTTCAGCTCAATTTTAAATACTACAAAGGCATACATATACCACACGTACTTATCCACACATGGCTGCGCAAAGCGCGCCCCAATGCGAAATTTTCCGGCGAGCAGGGTTTTCGCTGTGGGGCACGTTAAACAGTGTGGACTTAACGTTTTTGATCACCGTGCATCTAAACTTTACTTCTTCTCACAGAGTGAAGGGACGATTAATCGCCTTATGTATTTATAAAGGTTTGCTTGTTTGAAGATAGTACCATTGAAATCCATTATTTGAAACATGCAAACAAGTGTCTCGAAGTCTGAATCTGGTTTCTCTCGTTAAGTTTGCCAAACTCAGAACATTTATTATTGCTCAATTCGGTGCCAATGTTAGCTTCTGTCAAAAATTGAAGAGGATTCTTCTAATTTTGTTCAATTTTACGAAGCTTTTGTATTCGACTGAGGTTTAGAACTTGCATTGCAACATTTCCAAAAGTTCCATTGATCTGGGGATACAGTCTGAATTGAGAGATTCTGGATGGATGCCTTCAGTTATTTGTAAGTACCTTACGATAGCAACATCCGGTAGTGGAAATGCATATACATTGCAATGTTTCGACAAATGCCGTGAAAACTCTACGCATTCTGTTAGAGGAAGCAGCATAACAGATTCAACCCTACCAAGGCATGCATCAATGTTGACCAGCAATTCCTTAAAGCGGATGTGCAAGACTTCTTCTATGATTTCCTTTTACAAATAGAGCTGGTTTATTTTGGTAGGAGAACAAATTGAATCACAAAACAACTACCATCAAGCAGTTTTTATTAGAGGCACTTATGGTTTTAATAAAGAAAGTTTTGCTCCTTTCTTTTGTTCTAAGTCAAGATTTACGGAAAACATTCAAGGACTTTGATTTGGCAAACATATATTGTGCGCTTGATACATTGATGGCGCTTGTTACATTGATACATTCCACTTGAGATTCCCGTTCGCATCTCACAGTTTCAGGTATGAACGCATGTCAGAAACGAAAGACTGAAGTCTGTCTATCAGTCTGTCGAATGGACTAACAGAACACTTTAGGATGTTTTTTGCCTACGAACCAATTTACAAAAACAAAAGCTTTGAGGACAGGCATGCATCACCTATCCGAATCATATTATTCCTGCATTACCGAAAAATTCTTACTGTACGATATACTTCGCGGTACTAATTGTGACATGGATCATGGAAAAGCACCATACTTTCTTTTTTCTGAACAGCGATGGTCACATCGCTTTCTGTATGCAAAAAAAAACACATTCGTTGACATACAGTGTAACTGCAATCAACTGTACGCCGACAAGCAAAGGAATTTTCGCTACATGGCAAAACTATATGAAAAAATCACCTACGCGGCGAACTGTGTGCAAAGAATCACAAGTTCATTGTGTTTAGTGTGCTCCGGAAGCATAGACCATGCGCGCCGGCTAAATTCGCACTGGGTCAAGGAGCGCGCTTTGCGCCGCCATGTGTTGATTTATGTACAGGGTCAAGCGTGGGGTGCGGCACGCCACACCTGGGGGGTCGTATTGAGGAGTCAAAAGGGGAGGGGGGTCGTAGTTGGGTAATCTGATAATAGTGATAACATGGTATTCGTATCCTATCCATAATTAGCATGTCAAATAACCCCTGTAGACAAAGTGTGAGCGAATTCTGAAGATTCAAAATACTAAACTACCTAAGTGAAATGGTCAAATTCCAACATGGTTAACTTTGTTTCAAAGGTGAATTAGCTATCCGTTTTTGCACTCAAGACAAAGCACTACTCCTTCTTTGTCCACCTCAGGAATCCCGCTTCAGAAGAGCTCCAAACTGTGGAACTAGAAGCCAACCAAAATCTCATTTTTCCCATTTTTTCGCTTCTAATGGCTGTGCTTCCACCAAATACTACTCAGAGCAAAGAAAAGGAATCAGGCTCAAATCACTCCTGCGAAAACTAGGAGATCTAGGCTATTGACCGATACAAACACGGTTCGCTAAAATCGTTTTTTTGATATAGTTAATGGGGTGCGGCACACCCCCTTAAAAGCTGCGGCGGCCGCAGCTTTTAAGGGGGTGTGCCGCACCCCATTAACTATATCAAAAAAAAACAATTTTAGCGGACAATATTTATAAGAATTGATAGCCTAAACCTTGTAGATTCCATAGGACTGTTTGGAGCCTGATTCGTCTTCTTAGCTCTGAGTAATATTTGGTGAAAGCACAGCGATTAAAAGCGAAAAATGGGAAAAACGAGATTTTGGTTGGCTTCTAGTTTCACAGTTTGGAGCTCTTCTGAAGCGGGATTCCTGAGGTGGACAAAGAAGGAGTAGTGCTTTGTCTTGAGTGCAAAAACGGATAGCTAATTCACCTTTGAAACAAAGTTAACCATGTTGGAATTTGACCATTTCACTTATGTAGCCTAGTATCTTGAATTCTCAGAATTCGCTCACACTTTGTCTACAGGGGTTATTTGACATGCTAATTATGGATATGTTGCCCATTATGTTTGACAGGACCTTCAAGTAATGCTATCTTAAGTATAGTTCAGGGGGGTCTTTTTAAGACAGCAATTAGGGGGGGGGGGGTCGTAACCAGCGATCGTGTGCCGCACCCCACGCTTGACCCTGTTTATGTATCGTCTGCGCCCCCCAGAGAGGTTCCCATAGGTACCATGTCATCTCGCTGCCTTCCGCACTTTTGAACGTGTTAACCTCGGGCACTTCCGTTGAAATCTCAAGAGAAACATGTCAAAAAGAGCGAAAGGCAGCGTTGCACCACGTACGCACGCTGATTCACATGGGAACCTCTCTCGGGCGCAGACGATACGTGTTATATATACCCAACAACGTTTAGCACAAATACCTACAAAGAAATCACTTACCTGTAAAAGCTGTTCTTCAAACGATTCGCTATCGTATCGAGATCGATTGGATAATCAATGTTGGCTGCATAATGCGGGAAAGCCTCCAAGCTGACTGGGTACGCGAAAGGTTCAACGGTGTCACGCACACTGAGTTTGGAGACCGCATCAAACATTCGAGCGCAGCACAGCTGAAAAGAGCGTAATCAGTAAACACGGAAGTTTGACCCTTGAGTGTAACACCAAATTATTCCCAAATCCCTGAATAACATCCTCTTATCATGACTCTCACCTTTCTTTCTGATTTCAGATCCTGGCACAACTTGCATGCGATCGAGCTGATGTAAGTCGAAGTTAAGGAACGGCCATCAACGACCGGCAACGCCGGCAACGGTCCTACAACGACCGGCAACGGTTACCGAGGTTGCCGGTCGTTGTAGGACCTCAGGTAGCCTCCAAGTTTCGCGCGCTCTCTATCTGCCTCTGATCCCGGCAACGCCGGCCGGCAACCTATGGCCGTTCCCTTAAAGTGTCTGGAGAAAGTGAAGTTGTGGGATTTCGATGCCATGCAAAAGAGGGATGCTCGAACACGCCACCGCGCAAGTGCGAGACCATAACGCTTGACCAGAACCAAGAAATATGGCCGGAAAGCTGGGAAACTTACGCTTGAGGAGGGGTCTCCGACTTGTTTGAACTCCTGCTATGCTATGGAAACGGCCATAGCCGAGATTGCCGGCGTTGCCAAGGTTGCTGGGGTTCCCGGCGTTGCCGCGGTCAGAAACAGCTAGAGAGAGCGCGAAACGCGGAGGCTACCATGAGGTCCTCCTATGAGAACCGGCAAAGCCAGAACCTCTGCAACCCCAACAACCTCGACAACGCCGGCAACCTCGACAACGCAGGCAGCCTGGGCAACCTTGCCGGCAACCTATGGCCGTTCCCTATGCGGCAGAGCACGCATGCCGCCGCACAAAATCGTAGGGTCCCGTAGTGACTCTGCAGCCTCGCCGGGAGCCGTCAACTTCAAACTGTGCGGCTTCAAAGAACGCATGTTCTTGCCGTTTTTGCGACTTCTTATGCGGATTTTCGGATTTAACGTTGCAGATAATCCCGGGTAAGTGAATTTTCTAGAAGTCGAATTCTTGCCCGGACACTGCCTTGAAGGCAATGTCCGGGCAAGAAATCGCTTTTAAGATTTTGTGCTTACCCGGACCTGTTCGCTATGCTGGATCCGAAAATCCACACTGGAGAGCGCGAAAACGGCGAAAAAAGGCTCTAACGTGGGAGGGAATGAGCAGGTAGGCGGAGTCTTCCCCAATGAACTCACGCGCTCCCAGCAGCTGGGACCCAGTTTCTGGAGTAATCTTCTCGGTTCCGATTTCAAGTCAAGCGTTCGCACTTGGCCTGTGGCGTTGGTAGCATGGCTAACGAAAGCGATAAGATCGCTTCAAAAGTTTGAAGAGTGATTTCACAAAGTGGAAGACTCCACCCGCCTGCTGATTTCCTCCTGCTGCGTCAAAGCTCTTTTTCGGCATCGAGCGCATCTGCCCCCACTCCCCCCCCCCCCCCACACCTTAGCGTCGTGTCACTTTAGCAGCAGAGAGTTTTGAAAGGCATCGAATTTGGGGATTGTCGCCTTCCGCATCACACTCGCTACATTGGTGTTCAAAGCGAGGTGCAGCAATTGAAATTTACAAGGCCTATACACAGTACGCGTATCGAATAAGCTTCTCATGCTGCGCTGCCGACCGCATATCAGAAAGAAAAGCATTGTCCAAAAATGCAATTTAGGAAAGTGCATGAAATCTAACATACTTTATTTTTAAAAGTTATTTCAAAGTTTAAATGGCAAACCTCCTTCGCCTCAGACGGTGTGCGACCACTCGAATCAGGCCAATCACTGTCTACCTCGATGAATGCAAACGCAAGCTGATCCTCCTCAGTGGCAACATCACCTGTCAAAGATCACCGAAGTGAAGCTGGCAAACTTATTGTAAATCTTACCTGATCTCCTCGTTCCTGATCTTGGCTGACAATCCCATGGACTCATTATATCCTCTTCTCCGGAATCCCACAGAATACGCAGACAGAACCAGAGCGAACTAAAGCGCTGTGGGTCAAAATTATCACAAACTAGCTGGCTTACCCGGCTCCGCCGTATCCGGACCAAACTTGGCACACATACACTTCGGGCCCCGGCGGGTGTCACAGTCCACTTTTCGTTATCGATCGATGTCGATTTTACCAATTTTTATCGATTTTTTTGCAGAGTTCACCTACAGGGCTAGGAGTTGGCACAGGGGGGGGGGGGTAGTGAGCATGGGGATTCCGAATACAATATTAGTTTTCAGAATTATCGATTACTTTTATTGATTTTATCGATTTTTTGTAAATTTTGACATGCGAGGCTGGGATTTTGCACAGGGGGGTAATCAAGCATGCTGATTACGAACACAACATTAGTTTTCAGGATCGTCCATTACTTTTATCGATTTTATCGATTTTTTTTGTAAAGTTTGACCTGCGGGGCTGGGAGTTTGCACAGGGGGGTAATCAAGCATGCTGATTACGAACACAATATTAGTTTTCAAGATCGTCCATTACTTTTATTGATTTTATCGATTTTTTGAAAATTTGAGCTAGGGGACTGGAATTTGGCACATGGGTGTAATCGAGCATGCTGATCACCCCCCTTGGGAGTGATCAGCATGCTCGATTACCCCCCTGTGCCAACTCTCAGCCCCCTAGCTCAAACTTTGCAAGAAAATCGATAAAATCGATAAAAGTAATCGATAATCCCGAAAACCAATATTGTATTCGGAATCCCCATGCCCGATTACCCCCTGTGCGAACTCCCAGCCCCGTAGCTCAAACTTTGCAAAAAAATCGATAAAATCGATAAAAGTAATCGATAATCCTGAAAACCAATATTGTATTCGGAATCCCCATGCCCAATTACCCCCCTGTGCGAACTCCCAGCCCCGCAGCTCAAACTTTGCAAAAAAAATCGATAAAATCGATAAAAGTAATCGATAGTCCTGAAAAGCAATATTGTATTCGGAATCCCCATGCTCGATTACCCCCCTGTGCCAACTCCCAGCCCTGTAGGTGAACTCAGCAAAAAAATCGATAAAAATCGATAAAATCGATATCGATCGATGACGAAAAGTAGCCTATGACACCCGCCGGGGCCCGTAGTGTATGTGTGCCAAGTTTGGCCCGGATCGGTTCAGAAATGGAATTTTCTATTCGGAACATACGTACATACATACATACAGACAGACAGACAGACAGACAGACATACAGACAAACAGACATTCAGCTTTATATATAAGAAGACAAAATTACCTTCCTCTTTTTAATTAAGGGCAGAGGTATCTAATAATCTTCGGTGGAATTGTGAAGAGATACTGACCACAACAAAAACTCAAACTTTCTCAACACTTGTACGCTTGAAAAACGCCACGCTACAAGGCACTGTCCAGGTCAATTGGGGGGGGGGGGGGGGGGGAGGGGGGAAGGGTGGGTTTTGACGCAGTGCGGGAGCGCTGCTCCTGACTGATGCAACTTCAAGTCCGATCAACGGTGAGTTCTGACGAGAAAATCGCTTCGAAAAAAAGGGCGGTCAGCTACCTCCTCCTTGACAAGTTTTGACATGATACATTAGATGATCTACAGCATTCGCCACGTTAAAACTTGTGGAAGAGGCGGGATCAGCGGACCGCCCCTTTTGTAGCGATTACCTCGCTTCAGAATCCACCTTTTTCAAACGGACTTGAACTGTTGCATTGGGCAGGAGCCGTGCTCCCGTACTGCGTCAAAATCCCCACCCTCAGTTGACCTGGGCAATGCCTTTAAGATGAGCTAGTAGAAATAATGAACATGCATAGCAAATATGTTCGGAACAATCACAGCTATTGTTTTACATATAACTACAATATGGGGACAGATTATGTGAACTACCTACTTAAAATATGTAGTAGACGTTAGATAAGTCGCTGCTTCACCCCAACTTCGAAAAAGGAACTAATCTGTTCGACCGTATCGATGATTTCAGTTTTACGAGGGCAGGATACTTGGGACCTGACCTCTTGCATTATGATGTACCCTTTGAGTCAACGGAGTTGGGGGGGGGGGAAGGCGGAGCTTGAAGGCCCGATCAAGGCTAGAGGGTGATCAGTTAGCACGCTAGCGAGAGAGGCGCACACACTGTGTCGCGGGCGCGAGCGGTCGCTTTCCAGCCGTCAATCCCGTTGAATCAAAGGGTATACGAGTAGATGCGCTTGAAACACTGATTTTAGATCTATGTTAATTATCTGCTGTGGTCTCTTTGAGCGACGTTATGGACACCTTTCCATACTAATTTCACGGAATCTAGGCAGTCAGAATTGTCAGTATCCAGGCTTTTTAGACACGGATATATCGGAGACAGCTTTCCTGCGCTCAACGTAGAGCTTTATTTCATTTGGACGATCCCTTGGTTATGCGTAAGTATATTTCAACGATCTTGATGAATCCTGTCATTTGAAACAGTGCAAATTTTGGTGGCAAAAAGTGTTCATGGCTTCTTTCAGAAGAGCGCACAGCACGTACTAAAGGCAGATTTGAAGTCAGCGCTTCAAGATGCATTTGATGTTCGAAAGGTAGAGGTCACCAAATATCCTCCCTTTGCTAGACCCGTACACACAGCTGGGAAAAAGGGAAACTAAGAAGGAACGCGTCATATTTCCATGCTCTAATTGTATTCTTCAGACTATCCATCTTAGAAAGTTCTCATATCTGTGATCTGATCGTGGGTATGACGGATGCCAGCACATTTTCATTCGAGGTGGGATTATCACTGTTTTGTGTAATCCACAAGAGATCACCTCTTCCCCAAAAATCGTTTAACTTCTTATAAGTTTAATAAAAGCGTCATAAAGTCGAACTAAGTACCTGATGGCGCTACTAGGCATGTTTACGATAAGACAAATAAATTGTGACATACACCCTAGCCGGCGAAAAATGGTTGATTGGAGATTTCGATAACCTGGAAGTTCCCTATTTCTACTATAACAAAAACAGTGCTATGATATGATAGATCCTTGTTGCAATGCAACGTTTTTATCAGATCTACGGGAAGACCGACGACTTTGAAAGCTAACAGTGAAGTTCTCAGTTTGTACGGCAATGATCGATTTCGGTATGGAGCGAATTATCGTCCTCTCTTCATAACTGTAGGACTACGGTAGGAACTTTGAGGGGAGTTTTGCGTCATTGAGGGCCATATTTTACCTTTAGAAAGGATTTAGAAAGCTGAAAACTCTTACGCTAGCTTAATCAGGGCAGCTAATTCCAAATATGAAAGTCATATTTCACCGTAATGCTTTTTTCATAATTTATGCCAGATATAACGTAACGACGGCCTCTGATATTCGTCGAAAATTTGATTAGCATTCGAGAAGCTCTGCGAACACGCAAAAAGTTATGTATTGATATCAGCATGCATGAAAACCTTACATAAATTTTCAGATTTTTTGGCAAATTTTTTCTGCAAACGGCTTATCTCACAATGGCGCCATATGCTGCGAGTTGCTACAGTAATATCACAGGTAAAGGGAGTCAGTGATTCGCTCCACACTATAAATCTAAGTTGAAGCCAACTCTACAAAACGGTACCTAATCCCTCCCGAAAGATCTCATGACAAGAGAATCATTCACAATCAAACAGTAGGCACATTTTTGGGACAACCTATATGTATCGTCCATTCCCCACAGTACAGCTGACGGAGCTTTGCCGACGTTTGCCACGTATCCGCGTGGCAGTTTTTGATAGCGAAAGACTACAAAAACTAAGGCTTTGAAATGGAGGTTCAACATTTTAACGTGTTCAAATGTCTGCAGGGCCACGCCCGCTATACGCTGGGAATCGCCCCAGATGAAAAAAAGCACCCATTCACTATATCGCAACAATACTAACCTGGGAAATTCTTCAGATTTGGGTTCCTTTCGATTTACGGTACCCGTCCACCACTGACCATCGAGAATGGCTTCAATTCTATCTCCTTCCTGAACATTTTGCGCGACTGATGCGTCATAGTGCTCTTTCAGAATAATAAAATCTGGCACGTTTGCTAGGTCGTGGAATCTAAACTAATCATAATTTCAAGGAATAAAAACGCAAGCAATACTGTGGGACATACTTAACTGTCCAAGATGCACCAGTTCGTTGTCCGTCACCGTCCGTTTGCGCCAGTCGGACAACTGTCAAACGATATGGCTTTCGTACGTATCGAACCTCGTCAACAATACCAAATTCTTCGGCAGCAAGCGATGGCCTCAACATAGATATTCCACATCGTTGTCATAAAGGCTTCCACCACTCACTTCGGTCTCATTTTTGAACTAATAGGGTATAAGTTGAGAGCTTCGACCCTTTCCAGGTATGACTCATGCCCTTGCCGGAAATAGACTACGTGATCGCCAAGTTGGGCGATATATGGAAACCGCCGCGGTTCGGTCATCCGCATCCATTCGGGAAAAGAGTCGAGGAAGCTTTCTGCAAAATGATGATACGCGTACTCTATTAGTCAAAGGTACCCTCTTACCTCTCTTTTGTCTCGGGCGTGTCGGCTTTTTCGTAGGAATGACATCTACTGTAGACGGACCAGGAACATCTGACTCGTCTTCTTCAGGTGATCTCACTTCAGTAGCAGAAGAGTCATCATTATCCTATGTGCAAAGTGATTAAACGGCAAGTGATTACAATCATACAGTGGAATGCATACTGTAGCTCTGTTCCGGCGACGTGAATCCCTTTTTCGCCCTTCTTCGGGCATGGCTCCGTCTATTCGTTGTGGCCGCTGCACTCGTCGACCAGATGATGTAGTTACAGCTGTTTCCACCTTCTTAATAAAAAGATTGACTACTGAACGAAGAGGAAGTTGTGTATAAGCAATTTTGAGAGCAACATGGAAAACTTGTACCAGTCTGGAAAGACCACTTTAGTCTTTCTCCGAATAAAGGTCAAGAAAACAAAAACAATCTTATAGAGCAAGATATTCTCGTCAAATAATTACCTCTTCATCTTCTTCATGATGCCGTCCACTGCCGACGGATCCAACAGAAAAGTCAGAATCGCTGGTATCAGAGTCCGAGCTGGCATCATCCTCCGATGAGCTTTCGGAATTGCTAGAGAAATTATCAGTTATCAAAGAGGTATTCTACAAAGTATACCTGTAGCTGTCATCCATGTCGCTTTGGTAATTTTCCATTGCAGCAGCTGCTCTTCTAGCATCTTGCGCAGCAATTGCTTCGTCCAAAGTTGGTGGGCGCTGTCGACGGCTTGGTCGTTCAAGTCGTTGAATCAGCGGAGGTTCGCGCATGGTACCCCGATATCTAGCAGTCGCCCTTCCTGATAAAAATTTTTCAACGGGCAACACTCGCCTTCATATCAATTATGGTGAGTCAAAAAATTTAAGTTTGCTTCGTTACATGCTCAAATTTATATAAACTGATGACATAATGCGCTTTTCTTCCCTCTTTGCAATCAATCATTCGCCTTCTGGCGATTAACCTGGACCAATTTTTGCTGAGACCTCATTTACTGTCAACTGTTCGAAGGTAATAAATTGCCTTTCAAATTGACTGCCAGGTCTTCTGACGTTATCCCCTGAGGCGAAATGATTCACTGAGCTACCATACTTCATGCTAGAACGAATTCCATGCGCAAGCCAGTGGACTCAACCAGTGTGAATCACGTGGATAAATCAACTAGGGGGCCGGACATACATCGAGCGATTTCATCGCATCGCGATACACCCAACGCGACTATGCTACGAATTCATTGCATGCAGATCACCTTGCGTTTCGGTTGCGATAATTTTCCGACTCGGCTAAACGCGACTAATTATCACAACCGAAATGCAAGATGATCAGCATGCATTAAATACGTATAGGGCACTTGAAAAATCGTGACGATGGCGCGACCGCGCGCGACACACACGCACTTCCGGCAACAGCATTTTCGTGGTTTTTATCCCTACTCAAATGGTTTTTCTGCTTACATATGAAATGGAAGTGACTGAGCTGAGCAACGGAGGTGATGCTTTTTTATATGAATGTTTTGTGCTCCTGTGAATGCAAAGATCGCAGTCAAATCCGTCGTCACGATTTCATAAATGACCTATAACAGTCTCTTGTTGGAAGAATCGCGAGGCGATGAAATTGCGTTATTTATGCTCGACCCTTAAAGGCAGCGTTCCACCAGATTGGGAGGTACCTGGCTCTGGTATTAAGTATCAGTAGATCCCCTAACTAAAGACGACAGAAGTTTGCAGCGAGAAAGGAGGTCTACGAAGTCTACAAATCGCCCAACAAGTGGCCCGAATCTTGCGGAGGCCCGAACGTCGCAGACAGATCAATCTCGAACTGCAAGGCCAGAGCACCCACAGCGCACACAGTCATGAGTGCAGGGTCCCACAAAGACTCTGCGTCTCTACTTTGCTGCATCTCGTACTCGCCCGAGCCTGCTGTAAGATCCGGGCCGCTTGGGGGCGATTTGTAGACTTCGTAGAATACCTTTCGCACTGCAAACTTCTGTCATCGCTTAGTTAAGGGGTCTACTATTACACTAATGCCAGAGCCAGGTACCCCCCAGTCTGGTGGGACGCTGCCTTTAAGGCATATGCCAATTGGTACAGCAAAGCGCGGCCTCTAGTTCCACAAAGGTTGAGCTGAATCTTGCTTACAGGTTAACATATTGTTTGGGTTAGATCAAAGTCCTCACTTCTATTAACTTTTATGAATGTTTTTATCGATCCAAAAAAATTAACTTGACCCGCAATAGAACGGAGTGAAACCAAGGTTACTGAGTTGCATGGAGGGAGGAGGGGGGGGGGGGAGGCACTATATGAACTTACTGTGGTTTTCGTTCAGTGGAACAAAGATTTCGACAGGTTCTGGCTCAGGTTCGGGTTCTTTTGTCGATTCAATGATATATTCGTAGGTTTCTTGATCTGCTACAGCCTCGGCTTCCTAAAAAAATACAAATTTGTCATGGCAACAACTCCTGCATCATGATCGCGTCATTTATCAATTGAAGTTTAGAACATGATGTTCTTTTCATTGCTCGTTTTTACAGGCAGTGTCCGGGCAAGATGAAGGTTTTGGGAGTTCAGTGCCATGCGAGAGTGCCCCCCCCCCCTTCAAACACAACATCGCTCAAGTGCGACGTCATAACCAGGGTCGAGCAAGAGGTGTGGCACACGATCGCTGGTTACGACCCCCTCCCCCTTATTGCTGTTTCAATAAGACCCCCCAAACTATATATCTAAGATTACTTGAAGACCCTGTCAAACATAAGGGCAACATATCCATAACTAGCATGTCAATCAACCCCTGTAGACAATGTTTGAGCGAATATTGAAGTTTCAAGATACTGGGTCATCTAAGTGAAATCGCTATTTTCCAACATGATTAACTTTGTTTCAAAAATGAAGTAGCTATCCGTTTTTGCACTCAAGACAAAGCGCTACTCCTTCTTTGTCCATCTTAGAAATCCCGCTTCAAAAGACCTCCAAACTGTGGAATTAACCAAAATCTCATTTTTCCCATTTCTCGCTTTTAATGGCTGTGCTTTCACCAAATATTACTCAGAGCTAAGACGAATCAGGCTCAAATCACTTCTATGAGATATACGAGGTCTAGGCTATCGTTTCATATTAATAACGTTAGCCAAAAATGTTTTTTGTTCGATATGGTTAATGGGGTGTGGCACCGCAGCTATTTGATCTGTTTGAAGGTAAGTTAATGCGGTATGGATCGCATTAACTAACCTTCAAACAGATCAAATAGCTGCGTTTTTTATATCGTTGTTACTGCTTAACCTTCTTTCTTTACATAGCAGAAATTTCACATGAAAACGTTTCTTCAACAGCAAGATATAATCGTTTTTCCTTACCTATGCAAGTGCAAAATACTGCTAGAATACTGCGAAAATATTGAAATACGGTAACAAGCTATGTCTGCGCTACTACGTGAATCGCGAAAGAAGGCGACAAGAATATATACATTCGACAGCCTAAGTCTCGTAATCTACATTAAAGTGATTTGAGCCTGATTGCTCGTCTCTAGCCTGAGATATTGAAATGGAACAAACGAGATTTTGACTTGCTCTTAATTCCTTAATTTGGAGGTCATTTGAAGTAGGACTCTTAGTGTGAGCAAAAATATAGTGATTCTTCTTACTAAGCACAAAAAGAAGTAGTTAACTTACCTTTGAAACAAAATAACACGTTTGATAACGACCATCTCACTTAGGTGGTCCTGTATTTGGAAACCTCCGAATTCGCTGAAACTTGGACCACAGGGGTTATTTTATTTGCTAATAACAAAGCGATGCTTATGCTTTATAGAACTTTAATTATATTTAGTGTACGTATACGAAAATGGGTCAAATATCAATGTGCTAGTATTTTAACACTGTTAACGAATATCATGTTATGCGAACAGCGGACGCCTTGATGACGACCCCTCCCCCCTCCCCTCCCTGATTCCTCAATACGATCCACCAGGGGCCGTATTCATCAACGAACCTGGGTTCTGGAACCCATTGGGTTCGCGAACCCAGTGGGACTGGGTAAGATCGGTATTCACATGCGCCCCGCTGGGTTCGCCAACCCATGACGTCACCAATGTGCCTCCTCTGGTCGGTGTACTTTTTCCTCATTTTCCCGCGCACAGGAATCGCGCTAAACTAAAAGCGTCAGCACGCTTGACACGCTTTCGCAAACTCTTACGTTCGGATGGATGACATGAATCAATGTCTCTTGTGCGACAAAACTTGCACTTCCCTTATTCTGTATTTTATTCGAGTATTCTTTCGGATCCAGATGACTGTCGAAAATGATATGTGTGGAGATGCAGAAAGAGAGCTCTACTCCTTTTTTGTTCTACATCTTTCTTACCTCATAAGGAAGATATCAGCCACTTTTTTCGAGGATTGCACGGCATAACTGACATCCACGAATGCATATCAACAACTATTATGGTGCAAGGAGTAGCTAAGTTTATTTCGTAGACGTTTTTGCTATACACACAAGTAGATCTGTGTCTTTTTTCGAACTCCTACATTCAAACGGGATTTCCATCAGTGACAAGGCGCATATTCGCAGGAAGCACTCAAGTCTTTGTCCATTTGGATTTCGTGTGCGAGGAAGCCCGAATGGTAGGGGGTACGTTTTTCTCAGACTGGAATGTGCAAAGAGATCATCAACAGAGTTGTAATCTCTATGATGTAAACTAATAGTTGACCACGATTACTACTTGTTCCCTTCCCATTGGTTTTTATTGCACAGATTAGGGAACAAACGATTTTGATTAAAACCGCTTTTTTTCTTTTTCTTGAATCGTTTGCCTGCCGACTTGATCGGGATGGAGAGCAAGGTTTTTTTTAATTTGAGGAATAAACAAACATAGACAAACATACAACAGACAACCAAATACATGAACACGAATGCAGGCAAACGCTCTGCTTCCTATATGAGGCTCCCTCTGTAGTCGCAGAAAAAAAAACGAAAAAGTCTAAGATAGCTTGAGCAAACATCGGCACGTGCTTAGGCTCTTTACAATTTGACGCAAAAAATCTCCGTTAAAAAGTTTGTTGCGACTTTTTAGAGACTGCCAAATTGTGACCTGCATCAAGTTTAATCAAAATTTATCTAATAAAATTTCCTTGTTATTAAGAATATGGACAGTGTTTCTAATGTATAAGTTTGCTAGTAATAACACTCCTGCTAGTAAAAGTCTTCATATTCAGCAAAGGGACTGGGTTCGCATGTAACCCACTAAGGAATCTGCACCTGCTTGGGTTCGCCAACCCAGCGCTCAGTGGGTTCCGGAACCCACGGGTAACTTGTTTCGTGAATACCGGTATGCTTGACTTTTAGATTCGCGAGCCCACTGGGTTCCTTCGTGAACCGGTTAATTGGCTCTTTGTGGGTTCCAGAACCTATTGGGTAGGCTCAACCCACTGGGTTCCGGAACCCACTAGTTATGTGAATACCGATTTTGTGGGTTGAGCCTATCCAATGGGTTCTGGAACCCACTGGGTTCGTTGATGAATACGGCCACAGGTGTGGCATGCCACAGCCCACGCTTGACCGTAGTCATAACGCTCGACTAAAGCAAGAAAAATGACCGGAAAGTGGGGAAACTTAGGCCTTGCGGCGGGGTCCTCCGACCTGTTCGAATTCCTGCTATGCGGCAGAGTACCTATGCCGCCACAGTTGAAATGTAGGGTTCCGCAGCGACTCTGCGTCTCTGCCTTGGTGGGGAATTTCAAATTGTGCGGCTTTGGAAAACGTATGTTCTCGCCGTTTTTGCGCTTTCTAATGTGGATTTTCGAATTCAGCGTTGCGGATAACCCCAGGTAAGTGGATTTTCTAGAAATCAAGTTATTGCCCGGACACTGCCTTTAAGACAGAAATAAGAATGACCAGATAAGCTGTATATGAATGATGCTGGAGATTTTCACGAGCTACAGCTTTTTTTTCTTGGAACCAAATTTTCATTTTTAGCTCTACCATCCTAGTTGCATCATCTGTCGCACGCGCTGTTTCAGCAAAAACTAACACCGAAAGTACAGAACATAGGCAACCAAAATACCTAATCATACTGTTGCGGATGTTGTCAGTCAGAAGCCATAAACATGCATAATTCTGACGCGCATTTCAAATCGCGATTCCGAGATGTACTCTCATGTACTAAGCAAATGTAAGTAGATACCTTTGCCCAAAAATTCCGGTCGTTTATCGACAGAGGCGGCACAATTTGTCGCGTAGTCCAGGGTGATGAAAACGGCTCAAAGGTCCCATCGGTCTATCAGTGCGAGATATATGACTGAATGACGAACTAACAAATAGATGTACCTTCTTGATAAGATCTCTACCAGGAACAGCATTCTGCCATTCGTCACCGAGAGGAACAAGGTCCTGATCAGTGAGTAGGGGAGGTGGAAGCAAATGCGGAACTACCCCTGTAGCTTCGTCCACTACCCATCCAGTATCGTCCATCAGTAGCGGCCTCAAAAACTTTCTATGAAAATTCAATTTAGAGTTTTCACCTTCACCCTATCGAAAACGTTGAAAGAAACTTCCTGAAAAGTGAAGACTTACATGTAGTCTGTGTTGAAGAATTGCTGCTTGGGGATGGGTCGAGTTGTTTTTGAAGCTACTCCATAGACAGTGAGATGACCGAGTGAATCGACAGCCGCGACCGTGCAGCCATCGCGGGATATGTCAAGATCAAAAAGAGCGGAGTGTCCACGGTGCTCGACGACGTTTGTGAATCGTTTGAGTTTTTCACCCCTCACAATATCCCAGAACTACAAAACCTGACTGAGGAAATATATTAAAGCGATAACACTAACATACCACCAACATTCCATCATGACCACAACTAAGGATCACATTAGCAAAAACAGGATGAGCTTTGAGAACAAAAGAGTCATCAGTGTGACCGGAGAGACTTCTCAACATTTCGCCTTTCCTGTTCCAAACTCTCACTGAAATTACCTTACCTCTATAAGTGTCAAAAGGTGATTTTGATTCAACTGTCTTGGCGTCTGGAAGATGGGGCTTCGTAATCTTATCAAGACCGCTCGCGCTCGCTATGCAAACTGCGTCTCTCTCGCGCGCGTGCTCTTTGACATTATCTAGCCTTAATTAGGTCACAAAGCCCCGCCCTCCAGCTCCCAAGCCAGTTGAATCAAAGAAATATACGCTCACATATGTAGTCCGAACCGGCAGTCACAAGCATTGTGTCGTCTAATGACCAACATAGCATTGTTACCTACAAGTGACAGAGCAACAAGATCAAATAAAACTCAAAATGTGGGAAGTGAAGATTCGTTACTAACTCTGTACTTGCTCTTCGGTCGCTCACTAGAAGCTAACGCAGATACGTGAGCCTCAGTAGGTTCAAAGCTGAAAATGTAAAGATGAAGCAAGGTTAGAATCGTGCCACTATGTATTGTCTGCGCTATCAAGGGCTAAGCTCGTCACAACACAGTTTATGGTCAGTTTCTTGATTTCAAAAAGTTACTGATAGATAAAGTCAAGAAGCCGTTCAGGACCGATACGAACCCTGGGACAATGAGCGAGATTGAGCGCCACTTTCCGCATGAGAATCTCCATACTTTTGCCACACCATCGCGGCTGCCGGATGCAAACTGACAACCTGCGTGAGCCCATTCTAGGCTGTCAACTCGGTCCTGAAAGATAGATAAACAAATGTCTCTTGTGTGCCACAATCAGTCTTGAACGTACTTTATGCGCACAAATGTCGGTAAATTTCGTTGCACCTCCGTCAAGTCCGCGCAAAATTCGAAAAACGCGTAAGTAAAAATGGGTGTCGCCAACTACGATCCACTGCCCGCTCGGACTATGACAGAGTGAGATGATACGAGCTCCTGGTGATTCACGCTCGTCAAAAATCGCAATATCACTGCAAAGAAATATAAACCTCCAAATACCTGATCGTTCAGACCAACCTTTGCACGAATTCCTTGGTGTTCTCGTCATATGGGTAGAATATGACTTTGCAGTCAAGAGCACATGACACAAGATACCTACGTGTTTGGTCGACAAATGGCAGAAACTTCACACGTGCAACCACGGCCGTATGGAGATGAAAAACTTGCATTGTCTCACCGCTGGACAGCGACCACACTCTTACAGAACCAGATTAGATTAAAGTTCCGAGTAAAATAAAGTGCTTACCGTATGGACTTGTCTACACTTCCTGAAGCAATCATTTGGTTACAATATGACACTGCTACGTCCGCCACCTCAGCAGAGTGTCCGCGATAGGTGAATCGGAGGAGTCCTTGATTTACATCCCAAACCTTCACAAGATTGTCGTCTGCTCCCTGTAAGTAAAACCATGCTTAATTCACCATTATTATAATACATTCCACGTGAAGTATAGGATAATGAGTTAGAAAATCGTTGTCTATTCAGTGAGCACACGATTGGAATAATATCACATGGGAATAATATCACATGCCCTTACTGAAAGAAGAGCAGCAGACTACCAATTTTTAAGATAAAGATAAAATTATTTTCTAAAGAGTGGAAATCTCGTGGTGTGATGAAAAAACAGCCTACAGATATGCCACTTACCGTCAGAACGTAATTCCCTGTTCGATCGAAAGTGACACAATAAACCATCGACAAATGTCCCAATACACGGTAATGGCGTTCCATCTGATCTATAGATCCAACACCCGGAAGACGTGTTCTACCCACTCGTGTACCAAACTCTCGACAAGTGACCAACCTACAATGAACCGTTTGAGCCATTTTTCCAGATCACAGATGAAAGGCTGATAAGTTAGAAAATGAATCGAGACTGATGAGCTCTAAGTAAAGAGACTGACCTAACATTATTGAGGATATGCTTCGAGACAGGCATCTGAGCTAATACCCGTGCGGAGTAATCCACCTTTGATGCGCTCTCTGAAATCAATATTACACATAAAAACATGAATCACAAAACTATTGTATGACCTACCCGTAGTTCTTACGAGAGAATTTCGCTTATTCGAGATCAGACGCAGAGGAAGGCCATGCACGGATGGAGGAACGGCTGCATCCGCTAGCACTGCAAGTCTCTCAATCATGGCGAGTAGAGTTGGATCAGATGGTTTCATTGCGGATATCTGAATATTAGCAAAAGGATGTCTTATTTATTATTAGTGTGTGCAATCGAAGTCCCAAACTATGGATGGTAAAAAGGTAGCAAACTGAGTGTAACTAAAATTTTCAAAATCTTCATCGATGAAAACACGATATATCAAATAACCAAGACAAGAGAGATTGGCCCAGCAGGAGCCGAGAAGTTCGTCGTTCAGGTTCTCCTCTATAAGAAAAGTTGGCCCAGCAGGAGCCGAGAAGTTCTCCGTTCAGGTTCCCTTTATGAGAAAACATAGTTTTAAACTTTTGAAAATTTTGAACTTTTAAAAACCTTTCAGTTCAACCCATGTCCGACTCAGGGATTCGCGTCGTGCGATCGGTCATCCTACAGGCACTAGCGTACAAACAGTTGGCATAAGCCTAAAGCTTCCGCGCGTGCGGCAAACAGCTGAAGCGTCATCCAAGCGGCAGGCAATGTTACCGTGCAAACGGCCGGCAATACATTTGTTCGAGCGAGCGGCCAGCAATGTGTCCGTCTTATCGGCCGGCAATACCCTTGCCGTGCAAGAAAACAAAATTGACCTCTATCTTCTTCTCACAATTTTCACACACTGTGAACGTAAACGGTACCTTGAGATACGACGCAGCGTTTAGGCTACCCCAAGCGTTGACATCTTATTATCAACGTCTTTTTTTCATAAGCAAGGCTGGAATGAACCGGTGTGAGATTACAGAGAGTGATGGTGTAGGCTCCCCTACGAAAGGTTTGGCCAATACTGAAGATATCGATCCACGTCCTCAGAATGTGAAGAGATTAAAGTATGCAAGAAGGATGGTCAAGGTATCCCCTACAAAATTACAACAGCAAGCGAGCGGCGACCTTCTCCGCGCAAGCTCCGGCCATCAGAAACCGTGCGCCCCACGTTAACCATACTACCGGCCCTTGATGACCGTACAAAATCGCACACACCAACGAGTGTTTGTACGGTCGTCGCTGGCCGCCGCACGGCGCGAGTCTCTGAGCGATAAAGATTAGCTAGAGTTGACGATATGTCTCTGCTAGCAGCTACGCTTTTTGTGCGTATCGACTGTAGCCTGGTGAAGCTCTCGCCTTTGGCTGCTATAACCACGTGACGCAAACATTATGTCACAAGCGATACTGCACCGCTCGTAGTTGCCAGCACATTTTGCTAGTATTTACTCCTGTTGATAATTTTCAGGCGTTCGAAAGTATCTAAAGCATTTTTTGGTCTAATGTAGCATAAAGTTGAGAAGCTGACGTCAAGCAAATCCATAGAGAAAGAGAGGGACCTAATATCTAATATATAAAGAATAGTTAATTAAATTCAAAGATCGGCAAATAGCGGGAAAGCGCGGTGTGGTCCCGACGGCGCGGATGCAATCTAGCACCTTTGAGTACTGGTTCATTAGTCAAATCGAAAACTGCACGAGTACATGAAAAAACGATACTACTGTTTACGATCATTTGGAAGCTACGCATAAAGGGAAACAGTGAAATATTGCAAATATAGATAGATAGCCATGACACTCATTGTACAGAATGTCTCAATGACAGTGTTACAGCCCGCAGCGGTTCACCTCGCTCGGACATTTCGCCGATCTTCCCAAGATCCTCTGTACATTCTACACATATATGTAAGCAGCGATTGAAACAAGAAGCGTTGGTCAACAAAGCGTGCAAAACTCAAGCAAGGCAGCCCCCTGCCTGCAAATCTGCGCCTATCGACCCCAAATCCAAGGCTCCGCATTAGTCGCCAAAAACGTAGGGGTGAAGTCTTACTGTGGTCCCAAAACTGGATTTGTCGCATGACGCCTTACACATGAGCGATTGTGTTTTGACGAGCATGCGAAGATGCTCAGATACGCTCGGGTAGCAGAAGACTGACTGAGAGATGACCGCTAGCGTTCAACCCGCTGAAGCCGTGAACAATGCCACTATAGCCTACGCCTACTGATTGTACCATTACATCGACCGCAAAAGAAGCAAAGACGACCCTTAGTCTACTATCCCCATCCCTCAGACTTTCGTGACTTTTTTCGGTGAACGATAACAATGTGCTTACAACAGAGATAAAAAAGTTCGATAATAACAGATGGATAATCTTGAGAAATTATTAGGGCACAAGCAAATACATATACCCAAAAACGTAAAAACAGAAAAGACATACGTAGGATACTTACTATGTCAGCGTAAGTCCGCGGATAAGTGAGCCCTTGGAAGTCATGTCGGACTGGTAATAGCTGCAACAGAAGTATAAGACAATTAAAAGGCGCTCAAAAAACTGGTGACACTGACTATAGTGGCTATAGCACTTCCAAAGCAACAGACAAAAAGTATGACAAAAGAAAACCAATTTGCTTAATATCTGCATCGAGAATACAAAGTTAAAAAAAACCTAAAACAGTTCTCACTCGCTGTTCTTCGATTTCACGCCGTAAAACTCTCGCACCTTTCTTGCATGGACCGCTGGCCAAGAAGCGTTCGATCAGCACCAGAAGTTCTGGAGCAACATGGGACTATTTCAGATAGAAGAATACTTACCTACATGCATGCATACCAAATTTTGTTTGGTCATCCGCTCTGCTGGTTGACGCCAACTCTTTCGCATACGAAGTACTCATGTCAACATTAATCTATATTAATTACATTAGCCAATCACATAAAGAACTGCCGAGTAATGAACGAGATATGTCGGTAGCGCAACCCCAGTTCGAGATATATAAGAATTGTAAAAGGAGAAAACTTTTATTAACGAATGGCTCGCTAGTCAGCTCGAAAACATACACCGGTCAAATTTAGGATTAAAACATAGTGCGTGAATTCAAAGCTCTCTATCATCGAAAAGGATAAAATAAATTGGTGGACTCAATGCTTTCCAGAAAAACTACCTACGTATTGACTGAAATGACTGAAAAATAAGAGTAGAAAAAGACACGCGCATTCTTATACAATATTGGGAGAAGGCAAGGCAGCCTAAACTCTCACTGTAAAGTATACATCAAAAGTGCGGAGTATTCCGTGTATGAGCGAATCCTCCTTAAGGAAAACAAGAATATGAGTGAAAGAATGCATAACGGAAAATCAAGATCAAACCAAAACTTAGATGGTTCAAGACATTTGAAGGTGTTCGAGACAATGGCAGATGGCAACTCCATTTCAACCTATAACTAGACAACAATGACATAGCATCTGACTCCAAAAAGTCATGCAGCAAACCTCAACAGTATTAGAAAGTGGCTCCCTCTGCAGGCTGAGGAAGTTTCATGTTTTCTTTAGCGCACATCATGTTCTTTCGGATATCTTCCAACACGGACTTTATCATGAAACTTCCATTCCATGAACGCAGTGTGCTTAGATTCCTCTTGTCGATCTAAAGCATCATCATGAAAGACGAGTTATTGAATAGCTGCGAACTAAATAAGATAGAGCACGAGCGATATGCGGGTGAAAGCAGCTTCATCTGACACGAAAAGTCTTATTGATCGAAGCAGTCTCTCCAAATAACTCCTGTACCACTTTGAAGAACGTTGAATGTTGACTTCAAATCTGTTTTTGTTATCTGCCAAAAGCCTTGGGCCATTGAGTTATAAATGTTTTCAGCGGCGAAAGATGGACGCAACTAGGTAAAATCAATTGTAATGGTCTTTCCGAAGTTCAAGTATAGCGTTAGTATGACTATATCAGAGAGTTTTCATTGCACATAATGCTCTAATACTGGACCATTTGAGCTTCTGGACGATTTTTCTTCAATTGCGCATACGGTTTTTACACAAATAATAACGCTCATGACCCGAACCCAAAGATGCTTGGTAGATAATGAATACGGATTTAAACACCGTTCAGTGTTTTTTGAACTGATGTTTTTCATCTGGGAAGGCTAGTCGGTCACTTCCCTGTGAGCAATTCATTGATGTGATAAAGCCATAACTTGAATATGGGCAGCTTCAACAAACTTTTGAGCGAAAACAGTTGATATGATTATTGATTGTTTTCTAGCGTTGACCAAGATGGTATTGATGTTTATTGGGCCGACGTTTCGGCGTCCACGCCTTCGTCAGAGCCTGGAAAAGTCAAAAACCATTTATGATACGTCCCTCCAAACGCCTCATCTCGCTACAGAATCGATTTTTCAAGATCAGATGAAGCCAAAACGTGCATGTTAGGTCGCAAAGAGATACTCCCAGGAGGACCCACGGATAGAGTTGCTTGGCTGCTCAACAAGATCTTATCGCAGGTTCTTAAACATGTTCCAGCCCATCTTACCAATACTAACATGTTTCTGGAAAGACTGAGGAACTCGCGCTTCGACACTGACTGTGTTATGGAGTCTTTTGACGTTACATCACTGTACACAAACGTCTCAAACGGAGCAGCCATGCAAGCAGTTTCTGAGCTCCTCGTGGAGCATCAAGCAACCATCAATTGGTTTGGGCTCACTCGGAATCAGATCATGACATTGTTGGATGAGTGCCTAAACTGTAATGTATTCCGATGGGCCGGGCAGTATTACAAGCAGATAAGAGGCCTTGCCATGGGGCAGAGGCTGGCTCCGACACTAGCCGTCGCCTTCATGTCCAAGGTGGAACGACCGATTTTGGAACGGAAGCCGCTGCTTTACTGCCGCTACATTGACGACTGTTTCATAGTATGCCCAACCCAAAAGGAGTTGGATACCTGCTTCGAAATCCTGAATCGACAGTCGTCAGGTATAAAATTCACCAGAGAGAAGCCCACGGAAAACTGGTTACCATTTCTTAATGTGCATGTGCATCTATCAAAAGGAGAATGGAAGACGAAATGGTATCGGAAACCCAGTAACAAGAACATCTTGGTCCACTATCTCTCTGCACATCCATGGTCCATCAAAAAGTCCGTCATCGGAAACATGTTTAGGACGGCAAGAAAGGTTGCGTCTGATACCGAAGAACGGCGGGTCTCATTGCGTCTAGCGTACCAGGTGGCAGAGCGCAATGGCTACTCTATCAAGGCATGTTCCCAAACTCGAGCTCCTAGAGGTCAGAAGGAATCCAACCGACCGGAGAACAACCTAATCCCCTTCTGCCTTCCTTATGTGTCGGAGGAGTTAAGTAGAGCTGTTAGGACATGCTTGCGTCAGGCAGGCCTACAAGATTCTGTAAGGGTTGTGGATGTCCCCCCCAAAAACCTTAAGGAATTGCTAGTACGGAACCGAGCTTATGACCGCCTCTGCATTAGCCCAAACTGTGTGGTTTGCCGTTATGGAAGAGAAGGAGACTGTACCGTAACAGGAGTGGTATATCTAATCGAGTGTCTCTCTTGCGGTGAAGAATACATAGGAGAAACGGGACGATCCCTCTCAGTTCGTATCAAAGAACACTTGGATGGGCTCAGTAAGTCAAGATCATCTACGCCTTTGGGAGCCCATCGCCAGAAAGATCATGCCAACGTTTCGTTCGAAGTGAAGGTCACGATCTTGTCGTACGAACCCGAAATTATAGCGCGCAAAACTCTCGAGGCGTTGTGGATATCCGCAAGAAATCCAAAATTAAACAGAAAAGAGGAGTGCTTATCGGTAACAAACGAGCTCGCACCTTACCAAAGCTTATGTAAATTTGACCTACGTAGCTGAGGTTTGCGTTGGCGGGTTGCGTTGGCGGGCCCTCAGGCCTTAAATAGCGTTGTGGCTAGTATACCTCACTATCGGGTGGCCTTTGGCAAAATCTCGTTATCTCTAAGGTGAGTATCTCTTTGCGACCTAACATGCACGTTTTGGCTTCATCTGATCTTGAAAAATCGATTCTGTAGCGAGATGAGGCGTTTGGAGGGACGTATCATAAATGGTTTTTGACTTTTCCAGGCTCTGACGAAGGCGTGGACGCCGAAACGTCGGCCCAATAAACATCAATACCATCTTGGTCAACGCTAGAAAACAATCAATAATCATATCAAGGACCATGCCAAGATTTAAAGAAGGTCGGACCACCGCATTATTACGAAAACAGTTGAATCTATCTATATATGAAAATCTACCTTTTATATATAAAGAATTGTTGTGGCTATACAAAAAAGTGAAATTGCGGGAAACCGAGAGGCTCCCGCAGCGAATGCCCCTGCAAATCTAGCACCTTGAGATTACTAACACACTAATTGCTTGGAAAACTAGGAGGCTATAATGCCTAGCAAACCTTGATAAAATCTCCTGTTGCGAAGGTAGACTTGTCAAAACGGCTTGAGATAAAGGACTAGCAGATAAAACGTACCACGCCAGTCGTTTGGTTTACTCCGTTCATATGGATTTTCGTGGTGAATCGGACACTGGGAGGTTCTTTTGGGTAATTGGGCCCACACTCCACATGCAGATTATAGATTCGCGACTCATACGGAGTCTGAAAAATTTTGAGAGATCGATGGTGACGTAACGGAATGAAATAAAGAATAAATGTAAAACACCAGCGCACCCTCGGAGGTCCGATGATGGTTCCTGTCCATCTCGTAAGTGTCATATCAGTGTCATCTTCAAGACCCCATGAGATGTTCCCATCACCCTTTCCTTTCTGGCCGTCTTCCAGTTCTTCGAGGAGACGAAAGTTTCTTGGTACATCCACTAAACACTAGGTGTAAAATGACTGTGCATGCAATAATTGCAGGATAGACTATTTGTTATCCACGAAAGAGAAATGTGACAAAATTCTCTTCACTCACCCATTATCAGATATGCAACTAACGCGATCCAAGCCCTGAAAAGTTATATTAGGTGCTGAAGAAGGCAGCCGCACACTTTAAGGATGCAATTTATAACGTCATCAAGGCATAACACATAACTGCTGGGATTACCCGACTATAATGCCTAAAACTAAAAAAGCTCAAGATGATTGATTCCCAAGCGGCTCCAATTCTTTCGTGTGCGGGGGCGAAACGCAGGCTCAGGTGGTCGCATTGGAGCGCCGAAACCGATGGTTCACTGATTCAATGTTCCACAAATATAAATCGTTGGCACTGAACCATATCTGCTATCCATCTCTGATCTCGAATACGCTACCACTACTCAGAATTTTGATTCGTTCACATTCACCGCGCACCCTTGATATGCAATTATGGATATGGGAAGTAGGCTGCCGTTATTTCAATTTTTCCTGTTCGCAAAAATCTTTGTCACCTGACATCTCCCATTCATGTGTTTATAGGCGTTAATAACTCCGCTGCTTTCATGTCTTTCGCCGAGCTTTAAGCACCATTCTGTAGAGTGAGGTTCAACTTAGATTCGCAGTACGAAGCAGAACTCCGATCCCCTTCTTTTATGACGGTATGAACTTCTAGCATGTGGATCCATTGTGAAATATGCCATTTGACAAAATGTTTTTTTTTCAAAAAATCTGAAAAATCTTGTACTAGGGTTTTCGCGCACGCTGATTCCACTACACAACTTTTTACGATGTTTTTGGCTTTTTTGACGGTGTAACCACATTTTTGACAAATGCTAGAAATCCATTTATTTAGGTTTACCTGGGATAACCTTGGAAAGAAGCGTCACAGTAAAGTGGAAATTTCATATTTGAAAGCAGCGTCTTTCATTTTCATTTTCATTCATTTTCATTTTCATTAAATACGCTCAAGGCGTACCATTAAAAAAAAACAGAAACAAACAGTGTAATTGTTAGTTTTACACAAAGCACGAATAACAACAGAACATCATATGCTTCAGGCCCAGACTTCATAAAACTAAAGAATAACGACTTAGCTTGCAAGAAGACTGCTGGATATTACGAATCAATGATGAGTTATATCCACAGAGATGGAACCCATGCCCCCGCGTTAGCCAGCAAACGATACCATAGTGTAAGAGTTTTTGAATTGTTTGGTTTTGCTCCGAGGCCGAATATGGCCTTTTATGGCCTAAAGTCCTTGTCGAAATTTCTGCCGTATTCCCACAGTAATGAGGAGCGATCGATGATTCGCTCCATACTGTAGATCTAACAAGGGGAGGATACTAACATAGATTCGCCTTTTGAGATGAGACACATATATTTGGAATCAACTTGCGTTAATTCCAAATATGCTGTTCCTAGCTGCTTAGCGATGTTCTGAAGCGAGTTATGGTCTCTTTTCTATGCAAAGTTTGCCTACTCCTCGACCTACTGATGCTACTGTGTAGACGTCTAGGTGGTTTTGCAATTGTATAATGCTCCCTTTCAAGACGAAAGAATTAATCTGATGCTAGCTCAACATCCTAGCACTTTTTTTCGAGCTGATTCTTGTCTACAAGCCGTATTACGACTTTCAGAAGTTTGTTAGTTACTCACATTTGCAAGGCCATAACTCGCTTCGGAATAATGCTAAGCAGCTAGGAATAGCATGATTGGAATCAGCGTTCACAGCTGATTCCAAATATATGTGTCTCATCTCAAAAGGCGAATCTAAGTTGGTATCCTTCCCTTGTAAGTTGAGCCTCGCTCTTAGAGTGGTGCCTCACTGTTTGATCTTTAACACATTCACGATAAGGCCGATTTTTCGATTACTGCCGTTTCGGACCAAAGCCTTTTTCGCTTTGTTAAATTTACGACCCACCCGTGGGTCGTGGGTCGTATTGTCCGAAATGGTAGTCTTTTTGGAAGAAATTCAAAAATGTCTCCGAGAATTTCCACAAGGGTTATCGGATGCGCTAATTACCAAAGTATGATTTAGTTCAGTTTTGGCAGCATACGGTAAGGTTACGGTAGTCATTCTGTACGAAATCAACACCTTGGATTTTCATGAAAAATTGTATTTTGGGGTTATTTCACGTCTGATCACGATCATAGTGTCCACATTGTTCACTACTTTCCCACAGCGGGACTATGGTAGCAATGCGGTAGAATCAAGAAACTGATTTAGGCCCCGGGCAGACTTCACGCGATTTGATCGTCGCGACTGAATCGCGAGGAGACAACTGTTACAACATCATTCCATGCAGATCAACTTGCATTCGGTTGTGATACTTTTCCAGACCGAAATTTTTGAATGTGAAATGAAAATGAATGGAAATCTTGGCGATTTGGTCGCGACGATTAAGTCGCGTGAAGTCTGACCGGGGCCTTAAGAAGGCGGTATTAGACCTTAAGACTATCATTTTCGTAATCAGCATGGTCAAAAACCTATATATGTAGGGTTTGAGCTTCCTGGGATGAACAATGCGAAAAATCAATAAAATCAATAAAATCGATAATTTTTTATGGATCGACATCAGTCTCGTGCCCTCCCCTATTTCTCGTATTTTTCGTGCATGTAAACTTGAATTTGTAAAAACAGCACCACTCTGGGAAAAATTTGAGCTAAAGTCTGTGTCATACCTCTATCTATGGCATACCTACCGTAACATCACATTACAGTATCTTGAGCCCGGACCACTCTGGCTGCGGCTTTGCTAAGGTGTCCCCAATCAGATGCCAGAACCCCGTGGAATTCCATCGTATACTGGCAAAGCTAGAGCTTCAGGAATCTTACGACCTACCGGGGTCGTATTGTCCGAAACGGCAGAATACGTACGACCCACCGGCGCGTCGTATTGTTGTGAATGTGTTAGTAACTCTCTTTCCTAGAAGTCTTTTGCCTGCCTTCAGGTACCATTTTGTAGACCAAGCTTCATCTTAGATTTACAGTGTGTTGCAAATCAACTCTCTTCGTTCACTACTGTAGGATGACGGTAGGAACTTAAAGAAGGGTTTTGAGCCATTGAAGGCCCTATTTCGCTCTAGAAAGCGAACCAAACAATCTGAAAACTCTCACACTGGGCTGTGAAAGCGCTAAAACCAAATATGAACTTGGCATTTGACCGCGTGCTTCCTTTATGACTTATGCCCCGTAACCCGTAATAACTGTTTTTACGATGCTCTCTAAACTTGCAATCACACCCTTCGAAAAACTTTACAAACTCCTAGAAAGTCAAATGATGAAATCAATGCACGTAAAAACTTGGTATCCCACTTTTCAGAATTTTCGAAAACTTTTTTTTTGAAACACGTCTAATCCACAATAACGCCGTAAACCAAAAGCTTCCACCATAATCCTACAGTATCAAAGAGCGATCGGTGGTTTGCTGCATACTGTATATCTAGGTTAAAGCTGGCTCTACAAAATGGTAACTTAAGGTACGTAAAAGTCTTTAGAAAGAGAGATATTAACGACCAAACAATGCATACATACTTTTGGGCCCGGATTTTAGGCACAATTAGCCCTTCTGCTAAATGTTTTCGATGTTTTCTTCATGCTTTCTCTCCTTTTTAAAGGCAGTGTCCGGGCAAAAACTCGATCTTGAGATTTTCTGCTTACCCGGGCCTATTCGCTACGCTGAATCCGAAAATGCACATTGGAGAGCGCGAAAACGGCGAAAAACGGCTTTAACACGGAGGGAAATCAGCAGGTGGGCGGGGTCCTCCCCACAGTGAATTCACGCTCCCAGCTTCCAGAGCGATCTTTTCGGTTCCGATTTCGAGTCATGCATTCGCACCTGCCCGGTGGATATCTCAGGGCGCTAGGGGAATTGGGAAGATCGCTTCAGAAGCTGGAACTGCGAAATTCACATTGTGGAAGATCCCGCCCACTTTCGATTTTCCTCCTGCGTTGGAGCCCTTTTTTGCCGTTTTTGCGCTTTCCAATGTGGATTTTCGGATTCAGTATAGTGAATAGGCCCGGGTAAGCACAAAATCTCAAAATCGACTTTTTGCCCGGACACTGCCTTTAAGTACCAATCTTCACAAAGTGATGTAAGCGATATCAATCGATCGGTCTCTCGCGTTTTTGCCATTGCAGTTTCAGAATGGGGACGCTAAAGGTGGACAGTGTGTGCAGGTGACACACATGATTGTGAACAAAGAAGTAGTAGTACTTTGTAGTGAGTGCAAAGAAGTAGTTTACTCACCTTTGAAGCAAAGTTAGCACGTTCGAAGATGACCACCTCACTTGAGTGTGCCAATATTTGGAAACCTCAAAACTCGCTGGAACTTGGCCCGCAGGCGTTATTTGACATGCTATCACGAAAATGATGCTCTTGTGCTTTTAGGATTCTTTTAATATGCTTACTGTGCGTGTACGACGGTAGGCTAAAACATCAGTGTTGGTGTCTTGCACAGTGGTCCTATCAGACATTGTTGACTGACATTATGTCACTAACATCACTATCATCTCGATAACGACCCTTTCGCTCTTCCTGACTCCTCTGCGACCCCAGGTGTGGCGTGCCACACCTGGCGCTTGACCCTGATTAGCATCACCTTGAACGACCTCCTCCCCCCCCCCCCCCCCTCCTCCTCCCTGGGTGTATGTCAAGAGGCGTGATTTTTATTGCCAGCCGGACACCAAATAACACATAATAAGTGTTTTGCAACTTTCTAAAAGTATATGAAATTTAGAAGAAGATATATTAAGTAGTTGCATGAGCTGTTTAATCTTGATACTCTAGAAGAAATTCAAAACAGCAATTTTGAAGGTCAAAAACTCATGAAAATGCATTTCAGAACAAATTCGTAAATATTTCAGTCCGATTCATAGCAAAAACCATGAAACTCAGCAAGTGGTGACTACAGACAGATAGTAAGCTAATGCAGTTTATCTGGTAATTTTTGAAGACTCGCATAGCACTAAACTAGAGTTTCAAGTTGGTGACAGCCAAAGAAATCGCGCCTCTTGACCGTCTCCCCTCCTCCCTCCCCTCCCCTGAACCCTCAATACGACCTCCCATATGTGGCGTGCCTCACCCCACGCTTATACCTGGTTATTAGTAGTCAAATAATTAGTGTGCTGTGAATAATCGTGAGCTTTCGAAAATTCCCCCTGTATAAAAAATTCGAACTTGGTTGTGGAGCTAGCAGTCGTACATCTCTGGAATTATCTCAACTTCTCTTGTTTCCGTAAATGTCATTGCCTGCAAAGGTGCCTTGATTGTACGTGACTAGTGAAACTTCATTTATTCACCCAAAGCACTTTTCGCTGTAGTTTAGAGGTCATCAGTTGTCAGCAACGCTAACTAGAAGTTGATCAGCATCGTATGCAATATCCTCGACCTCATTTGGGAACTCGTGGGAAATTCACTGCAGTTTCTGAACTCAAAGTTTGGTAGCGATACATCCCAGTTGGAAAAACTCGTACTTAGACTTTTCAAACACCTCTTTTCGAATGATGGTTTTGCTCAATGCATCCACATTTTTTTTCTTGGAAAACAAAGTCTTCTTACAGCATGCAAATATGAAAAAATCAAAAACGACAGAACAAATACTGTCTTTAGAAATATCTGCTAAAATCCGTTCAAATTACTACATTTCAATTTTTTGCAGACCCCAAAAATGATT